TTTGGAAGTTGATGGCGTAGTACACCTGTGCAGGACCCGGCCCCATGTCTAGAATATCGAATCCGCCAGCGTCGAAGCTCGTCGTCATCACAATATCGACGTTATCGCTTGTAACTTCCGTCGGCTCGAGGATGAGTAGACCTGTGGAGAAGACGGTCTGCTGGCGTTAGTATTCTCCCCTCCGTCTTTCCCGCTTTCTCTAGTTGGCAACTTACCGTGAGAAGAATCAGAGCCCAGCCAGCGATGCTACCAACGACAGCCCAGTGTCGATTCTTGATTGCTTTCCAGAAGCTGGTCGTCACCAGCGGTGAGACGTAGTCTAGAAGAAGCGTCTTGTGCACATCAGAAGGGCCACTGCGCAGTTCCTTCCACGGCATCAGGATCTTGTTGGCGTAGTCTACCTGTCGCCACAAAGCAGCCACAATGACGAGAACTTGGCAGCGATGTCATGTTAGTGTTTGATGCAAGTCAATCATTTGTAGATCCCAATACTAACCAGCTGTAGGTCCATACTTCCAGCCATAATGATTCACTTCTTGCTGAGTGCTCAGTCCACGATTCTGGACGGAGAAGTGATAAAGCAGAGCCGTCGTAAGAAGCATAGCGACAAAACACACTGCAAAAGTGACGAGAACCGTCTTCCTCAGCCACACGGGGTTCCACATGCGAGGTCGGGACTCTTCGGACCATTGCGAAGGCGTCGGGCTCTTGCTATAGCCAAACTCGGATACGTGAGGACTGTTTTTGTTTTGCGAAATCACAGAAGCGAGGCCATGTTCCGGGGACAAGAAGTGGCCGCCATCGTGTCTGTGGTGATCGCTAAAATCGACAGGCTCATCCAAGAACGCCCTGTTCTCGTCCAAGGCCAGGTGTTCGCGGTGTCGCACGCTGTTATCGTGGCCCCGGAGCCCTCCTTCCTGCTCATCATCATCATCCTGCACCCCAACAGCTTCGTATTGCGCCGAAGCAACGGGTTTTCGGTGGATGCTCCTCGGCTGAGCTACGAAGAGGTCGCGGGTCGATGCGATGGGACCAGGCATGTTGGGCGATGACGCTGGCCAGCGTTCAAAGGCATGGTAGCTTCAAGAAGGGTAGAATACGTGAATGCGCAGATGGAGGAGGCATGTAGTCTGATTTATTGGAATAAGGTAGTGCAGGGTAGCAACGAGTTCCAACTCAAAAAGCCATCAATCAGAGTTGGATTGGTCTTACGGTGGCGGTCGACGAGTGCTAGGGCTGCTGCTTGGGCTGGCGCCATTCCCGTCGAGAGCTCGACAAGCCATGTCCACAGGGGGATTGCTTATGTGGTACCGAACCAATGACAGCTCGCGCCACTGTGATCATTGCAGGTCGAGGTCGATCTAATTAAAGGCAGCTCGTCTTACTTTTCCAGATGAGCCCGTTAGAATTGGCGATAGAGCACTAGTACACGTTGGTGTCTCGTTCCTGTGGCTCTGTGATGCGACATGGCTGAACCGGGCAGGTACCAGGGTATCACTCACCCCGCTCGAGAGAGAATGCTGCTGCCTAAGCCTCTTGCATGACGCGATGAAGCCTCAGCGCGAATGCCTAGGAAATCTCAATCTCTCAAAAAATTATAGACTTTTCACCTTTTGAGGCTGGTGACACGACAAGTGAGTAAATGAAGTGTCGCGCTGTGGTAACGATAAGGTTGAGGCACAGCTACTAAGATATAACAAGGAAGTGGGCGTGACCGCGATGTGCATCAGTGCGCTCTCCACGATGCCCAGTTCCCCGGGTTGGCCAACCTGGATGTGAGTGAGCCACGAGTGGCGCAGCGTGTGGTCTCTAATGTCATTATTCATGATTGTGAGGTCTCGCCGAGAGCGACATACAAGATAGTCCTATGAGTTTCTTTTTGTTCCTACTCACAGATGAGTCGAGAGGAAGAAGTATTCCCCTTGAAATCTCACTCACTACGGTGCTGTTGGATCAACATGTGCCCTAACCAAAGCCAGGGAATAAGCGAATTCGCATCATTTTGTTCATCTGACGCAGTTTGGGGAGACAGTACTTGAGGAGCGTCATGTGTGTCAGTGGAAGACGAGAGCTATAAGTATGAGAACGAACGAGAGGGCTCTTATGATATTCAAACGTGGCTGGAATGCATTGATTTCTTGCTTCGATGCTTCCAACACTATTTTAAGAGTTACCCGTTGTGGGGGAAGCCGTGAACGGCTTCCGTTACGTGGTCGCGTGTCGGAATGAGTATTGGTCCACTCGCGTAAATGAAAAAAGTCGTCAGCAAGACTAGCTATACTCACTAGCGAAGTCGCGTTCTTGCTCTAGATTTCAAGAGATCTTGTTGATGACGAAGAAGTCATTAATAAGAAACACAGTGAAAGGCAGCTTTCGGACGTGAATATACAAAGTATTTACTCCGGACGAGTGAGCGCGATTGGCTACAGTAGTAAGCCAGAGGGAAGAGTCGATGGCTTGAGAGTAAGTAAGTCTTTTGAGTGAGCTGTAATTGATGTTAATCGGTCTTTCAAATCACAACCACCACAGGTAATAGATCTTCCAATGAACGTCTGATCATTTCAGAGTTCATGAGACCGACGTCGGACAGAGTTCATGAAGTCCCCGAAGGCAGGAAAAGCTTGACAGTTAATTTCTGGACGAACGAGGGAGTACCTATGGAGTAGTGAGTGAGTTCAGAGTGAGAGAATGGTTGGCCGGGAACACCCCAGACGTCCCTCTCAGCTGTAAGCCAGTGACTTTTGTTGGGCGAATCACAGGCGCCAATGGCTTCCCCCCAAGTTGCCCCGGGCGGGCACAACCGACGAGTCTGTGGCTCTTCCTCCACTGTAAGGTACGATGTACGGTGTACCTGGCCACAAACGGCCCTGTGCGCTTTGGGACGGGCAGGCGGCAGGCCACAGCTGGAAGGGCCTCCCCCAGGTGCAACACAGGCCAATCACAGACCCACAAGGGGTTAGCTGCACCTGGACTTCAAACGCCAAAAGTGTTTCGTTCTTCTCCCTCCCGCCAACAATCCACCACTCCTTCACCACTCACTCCCTCATAACTGCAGACTGACTGGTTCACAGACTTCAAGGGTTCATCAAGGAGCCCCTGCTTCTTTGCAGCCTCTGCAGCCTCCGTTGACGTCCCAAATGCTGGAACCTGTCAGATGTTGCCCTGGCGTTTGTGTCTTTGCACGGAACTGCGGCTGCGCAGGGGTTGCCCCGTCCGCCCCATACCTTACCTACGAAGTATGTACTCTCATGATCCATCGAGAGACATGCCATCAGCCCAGCTCGTTGGCTGCGAAGCAACAACTATGACGGACATTTTGCTTGACGTCTTTCCCGAAGAAGGGAAGACTGAAAGATAGACAAGGGTCTTCTTGACGAATAGAGCCAGAAGGACGCAGTCGACTAGTGTCTTCCTGTTCTCTCAACTATTCGCCGACCTCATCAGTCGCCGTCCTCATATCTGAGCGAGCTGCACATCTTCATGTTCATCCAGTCTCGTTCAACCTGTTGTCTACGGATTACTTCTCTTGCGCCCACTTCCATCTCCGTCAGGGCCACCTGCATTCCTTGCGTCCCCGAACACTCGGCTCCGCGTCTCTCTTCTGTCTGACCTGGGAACTCAAAGTCCAGAGCCACAGCAGCGTGTTTGGGTGTCATTGAGCAGCGGACGGCAGCAACTCTGTTTCACAAAACCTCGGATCGCCCAACCTCAAGATCAGCAGTGTTTGATCGCACCTCCTTGCCCTCACGCTTCACCCTCACCCTCGCCCTCCTTCTCCTGCGGATACTCTCCCTTCCTCTGTTCGCTCCGTCCCTTCTCCCTACCTTACTTTACCGTACCGTACCGTACTCCCAGTTCCAGCCGGACCGACGCCCAGACAGACGCAACTGCCCGTCGCCTGGTGTCACCAGCGCCCAAGTGCCTTGATCAACCAACTCCTTGACTTACAGCTTCCGACCCTCCAACCAGCGACGTCTTAACATTCGGACAAACACCATCCGTCCGGACTGCATGCCACTTTGAAGGCAGGAAACGGATAGACAGACGAACGAAGCCTCACCATCCAACAGCACAAAGGCGGTTCTTGAACCTTTTTGCCTCTCTATTTCCTCTCATCTTGCCTGACTTGATCCGTCTCAAAGTCTGCTCGTCTGCTAGTGCAACCCTTCTTCGCTACGGTGAATCACGATCGGCAACCTCGCCGCTCAATAATCCCACCGACCATTCATCCCTTTGGATCCCTTTGCTTTCAAACGGCCCATTTCTCTGCCCATCCTCTACCCATATGGTAGAAAAGAGAGGCTCTCCTAAACCCTGTCTGACCGGCGCATGGTCCATGCCTGCTAATACAAGAAACGCGCTTCATCACCAACGCCTCTGTTAGTCTCAAGCCGCCCCAATCACCAAATCTCGACTATACACCAAAGCGGCCTGCTGGCATTGACGAGCTCGCCCAAAAGAGAGCACACTCCCGCGACCTTCACACCATCGTCATCTGTAAGCACTTCCTCAGCAAGCAGCTTCACGGCCAGACAACACCAAAACCTTCGAATCAACGCCCCGACAAACCCAACTGTTTGGTCGTCTAAGCTCTGGACCCTGCCGGCCCTGCGACCCGCATTGACGTGGTTCTCCCAGCCGATCGTGCCGTCATCCCCAGCAGCCTCTGTCTGACACGCGAGACGTTTCGGCCCTCTGGCCTTCGCTGCCCGCCGCCCGAACTGCCACGCTTCTGTCATTCCATCCCCAAAAGTCAAGCGCCTCCCAGCCGAATCCTGGCCTGTCAAGTTCAGTTGGCCACCGTCTTCCTGGCCGCTTCGTCACTGTCCCATCGACGACGACTCGACCATCTGCCACGAAACATTTACAACCAATATACGAAGAGATTTCACAATCAACAACGCCCATCGAGTGGGAAACTCACCGCAAACATATCCAACGGCGGCTACGCCACGCCAGAACGCGAATTCAATCACAGACGACTGACGAAAACACCTGAGATGAGCAGGTCGATATTCGAAGGCCCTCAGCGGCGCTTGGTCGAGCTCTTAGTCTTGGCGTCAGCGGCAACAGCAGCAACCATCAGCGTCGGAAGCACATCACTCAGCCTGTCTAATTTCCAGCTGATTACAGAGCTCTCCGTTCCGCTGGGTTGCCTGTTGTCATATAACAATCCCATCGAAGGATGCGAAGCCACCGACTTTGGTAGCACGGGAACGTGCTCCCAGAAATGCAGAAATGGCCTGACTCGCATGCAAAGTAATCTCCAGGACGTTTGTCAGTCTGTTCAAGTACAGGTCAACACGATACTTGGCCAAGCTCTGTCCGGAAACCTGGTAAACTTGCTCTGCGGCGCTCTGAACCAACAGACGTCATCGGCAGTGCAGACGATATCTACCACGACGATAATCATTCTGCCTTCAACAACCGCTATTGCTCCTCCTCCACCTCCGCCTCCGCCGGCTACGACGTCGGTCGCTCCACCGCCGCCGCCAACAACATCATTATCAACATCAACGCCTATCATACTTCCGCCGTCAAGCCAGGCGCCTCTGCCTCCGGCAACCACAGCGATACCGCCAGTATCTAGTCAGGCGCCCCCTATCATACCTCCCACTACTATTGTCACTTCAACGACAACGACTGAGAGCCAGGCCTCACCTCAAAGCACCTCTTCAGCCCCGGTGAACCCTCTCGATGCTTTGCTCATGAACGGCGGTATGGCCAGCAGGCCAAGAGGTGATATCACGTGGGGTCTACCAGTCCTTGCCGTTGTTGTGTATGGAATTATTTGAGTGTTGGGTTCGAAGTATCTGGATTTCGAAGCACTGCTGGAGCGAAACGCACGAAGAGACCAACTACTAATGTGTAAGATTATTATTTCTTTTGTCGAGGGATGACAGATGGGCAAAGTAAGGAAGGAGACGGCCCAGGGCATCAAAGGACCTCCAGAAAGTTGCTGGAGTTGCGAAAGAGGGCGAAGAACGCCAAGTATGACGATTGCGTGGATTATGACCTTTCACGGCGCAGCAAGATACCTTCATTAAGATACGGACACTGTAACACTAGATACCACATAGCATGGCTTGAGCAGATATAGATGGCCAAGCTTGAAGACGAAATTGGAGAAGCAAGGTGAATTACCTACAACTGAGCGTCGGGAACCCTCTCACTGTGCAAGAAATCTGGATTGTGCCCGCAGTGACTCTTGGATAGCCGACAGACGCAGCATCCGCAATCATATTGTCTTTTCTTCCCCCGCCTCTTTGAGCCTCCATTACGCAGCTGTCATGCAAGGCCCCCCGACGCAAGGATCTTCCCCCAATGCACTCCCCCGGTCCCGGGGCGCCGCGCAGCCGGCTGGGATCCCAGCGGGCCCACCCCGGTCTGCCACGCATGAACCAAGCTTCCTCGGATACGGCCGCTCGAGTCTCTCAACCAGTCACCTCTCGCGCTGGGGGTAGAATAGTTTATGCGGCGGGGTTTCGACGGTACCAAAGACTGGGTGTAGGCCTTTGGAGGTTGGTTGTTTGTCAAATCAGGGACGAGGGGAGAGGGGGCTAGAACGTGTTAAGGCTGATGATTGATTGATGACGGAAGAGGGGTTCAATCAAGGTCCGGCCTTGGTAGTCTTGAAGCTTGGTGATCCTGGTTCAGTCCTGAGCGGCGAAGGGGTGGAGGTTAATCCGGCTTGGAGCCTTGGAGGAAGGAGCCAGGAGGTCTACTTGACCGCACCTACCTTTCCAAATATTCGTCTGTTAACCCTTCCCCATCGCCCAGGTGAGTGAATACACGCAGGAAGGAAGCCCATATAGACCCCCTTCAAGTCCATTCCCATCACCAACGGCAGCAGGCGCCTCACAGGCTTGCGAGGTCAGGTCAAAGCTGCCGTTTGGCGGGATGGTTACGGGCGAGCCTTGTTCAACTGGCTTGGCCTACACCAGGGTTTCTAGGTTCAAGTCCCAGCATGTGCACCAAGAGATGTAGCCCCCGTTCGCCACCGGGGGGGTGAACTCTTTTGTTTTTTTTGTGGTTGACTTCTGGGAATCGGATCTGGGGTGCTTTTGGATAGGTTCTTGCGTAGGATTGTTAGATACGATGTTTAGCGGGTCGGTTCGTGATTGGAAGTCGGGCGGAGGAGTGGTGCGGTCTTGAAGGATGCCGTTGGTCGGCAGGCTTCGGATCGGAGCGGGGTGGGGTCGTATCCGGGAGTCGCGGACGACTGCCGGCTCTGAGGCCGGATATCACGGGTACAACGACTATTGCAATTGGGGTCGCATTTTAAATTCCGGGTCGTAGAAAAATGGAGGCAAATTCAAGTCAGTCTATCATTGCGAACATAAAAAAAGACAAAGGAGTGGATAAAAACCAGAGTTCCTAGGCTGTGGAAACAGGCCTGCCTGTACCCTCAATCTCTGATCTTTCTCCGCCTTTCAAAGTGTCCTCGCTCCCCGCGTCTTGACTATCCATGTCTTGGCTATCCATGTCTGGACTGTCCCCGTCTTGACAGCCCACGTCTTGCCTGTTCATGTCTTGCCTGTCAATGTCTTCGTTACCCAATTCTTCATCACCACCGTCCTCCGGCTGCCCACAAACTTGAAATCATCGTCATCCATAACCCCAACAGTAAAGTGCATCGTTCGATCAGACTCTCTTCGAAACCAACTCATGCGAAAGCGCATAGATGAAAGTCTGTCGTAAATATCTTCCTTCGATAATTTATGAGAGTCGTCAGGCATATGCTTCGCAAAGTTCGAAGTGTCCAGAAGAGCAGCCATCATCGCGATGCTGCTTAGCCCATCGGGAGCCAGGCCCTTAACATCTATGTCGAGCAATCCCCTCCGCCAATTTGTAAATCGTTGTAAAACTGAAGGAATAAGTATAAAAATATGGACTATGCCAACAATACTCAGAATTCCCACGAGAAGATACGTCGATGTTGGGTTTTGAAAGAGTCGCTTAGCGTTGTTGTTGTTGATGAGGACTGCGTTCAGTGGCTCTAGTCCCTCGGATTGCATGTCTTCTATATTGATCCGATTCTCGATGTTGAGGATCTGTGCACTAAGAAGAGCGCGGTCAAAGTTCAAGGCTTCCAGGATTCTCCAGCTCTGCCCCGGATCACCAAAGGCTTCAAGGGGAACCCGTCCGTGAGGCGGGACCAAGATGTTGAAAGCATTGAACCACGTCTCCAATCCATGCGACTGAGTCACCTCAGGGAAAGCGTTGCCATGATACTCTTTCCTCCCAATCCTCTCGGTTTGAGGGTCAAGAAAGGGTACAGAAAGTGGGGGCTCCCATGGAATCAACGTTGGGCGATCGGGGCGTGGAGGTTTGTTGTGGTTTATGACAAGCGTGCCATTGGCAATGAACAGATCGACAGACACCATGATCATTGCCCACGAATATCGGCACCGCCAGGCTTGCAAAGAATTGAAATGATGTTTTTGAAAATCGAATACTCCCCACAAGTAAACTTTGGATATCGAGGGCGCAGAATCCAAGACGCTGCGGTTGTGGAAAGTATCCATATCCATGTCGCAGACCGCGTTGTGACCTTGTGAATCCCGCTCAGATGCTTCAAACCCCAGGATTTCTGCATATACAAAAGATGACTTCCTTGGGTCTTTAGACAACATGCTAGAATCAGAAATGGTAATATTCAGCGTATCGGATGTCCCATCAGAGCAGGTGACTGGTATGCGAAGGAAGAACAGCGGCTCATTGTCATCTTTCGTCTTACTGACACTGAGCGCCTGACTTTCACAGCGCGCTACCAACGTCGCTGCCGGCAAAGACATTTATACGGGGGTGCCTTCGGATGCTCGACAATCTTACGTGGCAGGCGGCCAGTGCCAGGGAAAGCAAGATCGCGAAAGGTGTTTTGTGGATATGTCAGGTTCTCTCCTTTCTCCAACACGAGGCTTCCTACAAATTCGCGATTATTACAGTAATGCCTCTCATCAGGCTCCAATGGTCTTTTACCGAATGAGCTCTCTTGTCGGAGCTCAAATTTGTCGTGTTCCGGCACAAATTTGACGGTGAGCAGGGTCGAGGCGATGGTCGTCAAAAGGGCGCACAAGCTTGCCAAAGATTGCGAGAGTGAGACGGGCCAAGCCTTCAGTCGAACTGCTGTATATAGAGCCCGGAGCCCAAGCAGATCTAAGAGTGTGATGTCAAATTGTTGCGAACGACAAGGTCCCTTGGAGAGGATGTCAAGGGTGAAAAAGCCTCTCAGTGACGAGTTGAATGATTCTGTATATAGTGCAACACCAAGCATGGTCAGCGTCGGCAACGAAGCCCAGAACATGTGATTGTCCCTTTTAGTTGAAGTCAGCCCATTGTTTGCGTTTGATGTCTTTAATGTGTATAAAAGAACCGTAATGATGGCGAGAATGACGACAGTGAAAGCCGTCTGCACCCATTTCCTCAATATGGCTGGCGCAAATCTGCTTGGGCCCTGCCAGGCCTCTGTGTGGCTTTGTTCAAAGCATGACTTCTGATCTATGAATCGCTGATGTGCGTGAAAAAAAAGCATGTATCCAAGAACTGTTGCCAGATCTCTGTTCCATATCATTGTCTCTTCCCTGTAGCGAATGAAGATGAAGATGTTGATTGCGGTGACGAGGGCGAAAACGGCCACTATTGGGGCTCCGGTCTGGTACTTGATCTTCAACTTAGCAACTTGCCTGCGTTCATTACCCATGGTTTCCGTGCTCTCTTCTTGACGGAGATTATAGTGGCCAGCAAGGGGACCGAGCTTTCTGACCATATTGACCATGCAGTCGTACAGCGCCTCGGTCGTATTCAGCAAAGCCTTCGGGCCATTTGGGGCTTTTCCCCATGTTGCGCCCATACTCCGGGGGCCCCATACTTGAAATAACCATACTTGGAAGAGTAATCATTCGGATCGGAACCATCGGTACCTGACCTGAACTTGATAGGCAAAGATCGTTCGATCATGGCCCAAACGTTGACGCTATGCGGTATCTGAGATTGGCCTTCCGGTATCCTAAGCTTAGAGCTAATTCCGTTATCCACGACTCCACGACTTCAACCTGTGAGGTCCAGGCTGTTGGAGAACAAAGAACAGCCGCAAATGCAGCAGTGCCAGCAGATGATGCCTCGGACATATTTCCCATCGTCAGAGCTGAGAATATGTACTGGGGATTCTGTCGAGGAATGTTCGGACAGGGTCGATAATGGTAAAGCGGAGGGCCTAGATTCCAGATGGTATCGTTGCGTTTTAGGATCCGGTATCGTAGGTTATGGCAACCTTCAAAGTTGACTGAGAGCTCGAAGAGGCGGCTTCCGTTGGTACGCAGCACCTCGAAACTTTCAAGCTTCAGGCAGTGCATATCTGTGAAGAAACCGTCCACGGGTACTGTAATGAGCGCATCTGTACTACCTCTTGGTTCGAAGAGTTGGAAGGCGGCGTCTTTAGTCACACCGAATGTGTAACTCAAGTTGAAATCGCTGATAGCTCGACCGACATAGTAAGCACTGGAGCCGTTCAACCCCTGTGTTGATGGGGCAGACTCCCCAGATCCTAATGTTCGTTCGGTGCATTGGATGCGTCTAGAACTCGGACGGAGGTGTTCCGAGAGAGTTCGCCGGATTTAAGATGAAATAAAATTGGGACAAGAATAATTTGGATCTTGAGAAGGAGAGAGACGAGTGTTGTCAGGAACACTAGGGAATGCTTACGGCGAATTGACCGATAGATGGGAACCGCCATCATCATTGACGTATAGTCGAGGTCGTAGTCAGCGCCACTGGTGGGTTGTCCCTTGCGTAGAGCAATTCAGAGCATGTACCGCTGAGCTTGGAGCTCGACTCTGGCCCAAAGACCCGCTACAAGGGTGAGTACTGTACAACAAAGACGTCAGGCTTTGAGAGTCTATTCTGTCGGGACTGGTGGCACGAGTTGCTTACTAGCGGCTGGGCCGAATCTCCATACAAATGTGTGATTGGAATCAGTCCTGAACAGCCCATCGTTCTTGTAGGAGTAGCAGAGCATGTTGAGAAGAGCGACGGTGGCACATAAAAAAAGACGTGCAAAAGTGACGAGAACGAAAGGCCGCAGCCAGTTCGGGCGCCAGGCCGAGTCTTCTTCCACGTGCGCCTTCTCCTCTGCTCCAATATCCAATTCAGTTGGTCGATTCAGGGGTTCTATTGGATTCGGCTGCGAACTCGAAAGCTTTCGGCGAGGTGAAGATATGCTGATGTGTTCCATCCCGACGACGTGCTCCACAGGTTTCTCCTCTCTCACATACGATAGCTCATGAACAGTTATTTTGTCGTCTGGTCTTTCTCTTGCCAGTCGGTTTGAAGAATTATTTTGCTGCTTTGCTGGACACATGTATCGAGTAGGTTCTTCATCTAATTCCGTGATATGCCCGTATTTGTGAGTAGTACACTGCGTATCTTTGGACAAACGTTGCGCTCCTTTGCTATAAAGGATCATTCTCTTTTGAGTGTTTATTGATGGGCGTTCAAAGTTGTCTACCTACGTATTTGATTAATGGATACTGCTCAATCTTTTATTGGTGAGTCAAGAAAAGTATTTGGAAGGCTGGCATGAATGCAAAAGGCTGGCCAAACAGTCGGCTGGACGGTGATACGTGACACAATGCTGACTTTGACTCAGATCTCGATGCCACGCAGCTAAGATCTTGCTTGAGTTGCAACGAGCGATTTTTGAGACACAGTCATTCGGCCAAAGTCCTTTTCTTTCAGACACGAGGGAGTTGTAATGTGGCAATCCATCTTGATTCCCATAAACGTAAGGCTAAGCTCTGAGAACAGATTGCTCTGACCATCGGCAACGTAAGGATGCATCGAAATATGTGCCGCGTACTCTAACCATGAACATAACACTCCAATGACCTATATGATGTCATTTTGCTATCTCTCGATAATTAGCAAGAAGTTGTGAAGTCTTCATCCATGTGAAAGGGATTACTCAACTGCGAATTTGTAACTGGTTTTCGAAGTCCAAGTGCTAACGGAACAAGGACGGTCAAGCCAGTTTTAGAGCCGTCGATTTCTAGCCACAGGTATACAGAACGACATATCACGACATGTTATCCCACGAACTTAGTGATCAATGCTGGGGAAGTAGGGTGGCGCGGTATCAGGCTGGGATTTCTCACATTGCCAAACACGTTAGACCCAGCAAGGTGTCTGCAAGACTCCGCCTGTAAGCGACTAGTGGATCTCGGACTCCCACTTTGGCCGTGCGTTCCTACGGAGTGCAACTGTCTTGATACTCACTGAAAGGAGGGATCGTCGGCTTAGCGTATGTAGGGGTCCTCAGATGTCGTCTGCCAGGCACACCAGAGCCCAAGAGGGCTGACTGTACCTACGAAAGATCTGGCTGCATTTTCTTGGAAAGCCTATTAACTCAAGGTTGTCTTCCGAGGTAAGGTGCAGATGTCCTTCAAGCTATGATGCTGGTTCTGGGGATGAAACACCATCGTCAATAGCACCCAGGTTCCTTCGGAGCCAGCAGCTTGGTCGAGAGAAACGAAAAGCCAGGCTGGACAGCCAGTTACAGGCTTTCCAATCTGCCACTATACACACCTTGCAACAGTTATCGAGGCCAATAGGCTTCAAGGGCTTGGCGTGCCCACATACTAGAAACATCACGAGTCGCCGACCTCATTTCTGGGATGATGCCCCGGCCTCTCATCCCAGCGAGAACATAGGCAGACATTCCACTTCCGACTCGCCGAACTGCCAGGAACGGGGCTACTGGGAGGTCCAAAGAGGGTTCGCGTTGGCCCACAGTAAGCCAAATATTGACACCCATGCCCCGTCGTATTGCAGCACTCTTCAACCCCACGGGTCCCATCAAGGTCTTCGTGTAACTGACAACTTTGTCCTAATCAGGACTCTTTCGTATGACCATGATTGAATCATTCAACATGTCAGTTTCTGTAACCTAGGTCATGTCCGTTTTCTTTCGGGAGTCTCCGTCTCGTTCAGTTGCGACCCTGAATACTACGCAGGACGATGGGTCTCGGGTCTCTGCGAACGTGGCCTTCGAAAGGCATGTCATATTTCAGATACAAGGGTCCTCAGAACATGGGCCTTCAGCTTCACCGCTTGAGAGTACTTCACCCTCACTCAAGCTGACAACTCGTGATTCTCAAGATGAAGTCCTCGTGCTGAGCTCCGCTAAGTGTCGAGGCCCCCATGTCCCGGAGTGGGCCAACTCAACTTACCTTCTGCGAAATGAACGTTGAGGATTCTCGTGATGATTTTACCTGCTTCTTTCTTTGGCTTCAGCGCTGTTGCAGGGTTGTGATGAGACCCATTCTAGGCAGCTTCCTAGAGCTAGATTGACGCTGCATTGAAAGGGGACGCAGCTCGGGGTGACTTCGAATGTTGTTTTCTCTAGTCGCATATAAGTCTACCAAACCGCCACTCAGTACAATCTCCCCTCATCACCATCACCACCAACGTTCATCCATTACACAGTTCACCACAACAATCTCATCCAACTCAATCCTCAAGCATCTACGCAAGCTCTCTCCTCCTCATCCATCAGATCACCCCCACAAGGCCGCCACCACAAAATGAAGTTCACAACATCAACCGCGCTGCTCGCCCTAGCCACCTTCTCCCCTCTAGCCTCAACCGCCTCCTGTAGCCACTCGCAGAACCGCTGGTCCATCACCGCCAGCGGCGTCGACGATGTCCCCGGAAAGTGTGGCGGCCTCTGGGACAACCTCAAGCGTTTTGGCGCCTGTGCCGTCAGCAGTCCCAGCTGCGGCGGCAGCAACGGCAACCTCGCCTGGACATTCACCACCGGTGTTGGGTGTAATGCCGGCATGGTTGAATCTACCTGGTGGCAAGCCACCAATAACCGGTTTGGTAGCATTTCTTGCCCTTAGAAGGGGCACGTAGACACGGATGGGTTGGGGGAAGCCAGGATGTCTTGAGCTGTTAGAGGAAGACTAGTTGTCGAGCACATTGCTGAGTGGAAGATGTTCGTGCGGGAGACCTGCCTCTTACTACGCGGTTGCGATACGCGATTAGAAATCTGGGGTTGTGATCATTGGTGCTAGTTAGAGAATTTGACACGTTTCTTCGGGTCTTCGACTTTCCGCTCACATGATGAATCATGCCGATTGGCAAGTGATCTCCGATGCGTCTGATATCAAGAACTATTGAAGGTTCTTCAGACTATTTACTAACTTCACACTACTTTCTGAACCTAGACTGCATTCTAATCTCAAACTACGTCTCATCTCTACGGTTCCGATTGAGGCCTCTCCTGCTACTCAAGTGCCTGAAACTTAGACTAAGCCTGCATCTTACGGACTGCCTCTCACTGACGATCCCCTGGAGATTTACCTGGCTGCCGTCGCCGTCGATGGCGACGATATCTAAGGTATTAAATCATCGCCTCATCCCAAGAGGTTTACCGGCTCCCATGCCGAGCAGTAACTACAAGGCCCCCAATGCGGACCGTCTCCCCCCGGGCAATCTGCTTTCCGGCATCGGGTCAAGGTACGGCCTTCTTCGAATTCGTTCTTGGTACCGCACCTGCAGCAAGTCCACCAGCACCGTCTTTTCAGATTCCACGGGTGGTTATTGTTCCAAAAGACTGGCATTCTGATCTTTTGGAGTTTTGCCATGGTGGCAGTTTGAGATATGTAGTGTTCAGGATGTTGAGTTGCCCCTACGTTTTGAAATGTTTGATGAGATTAGAAGAGATTCGATGAGATTAGAAGAGATTCGCTGTGTAGATAAGAAGTACTACGTGATGTGGAAGAGATTCAAAGGCCTATGGTTAAAATTCGGACCAGTATTTATCTCATTCTGAAGCCACCCCAACAGAGATAATTTTGACATGAGGACGTAGGAATACAGTGATTCAGAGGACTTTTCGCGTACCGAATTGCGTTCGGGTGAATGAGCTCCTCCCAACAGGTCGCAACGTGATGTTGATCCCAAGCAAATAATACATCAGACGATAAATTCACTATATGGGAGCCAGGCAGCAAGGAGAGGCAATCAATTGTCCGCGCTTCGCTTCTCTTTCACTACCCTTCTGCCTTCGGTACTTGGGGATAGTCGAGCATGGTCACAACAGTATGTAGTAGCCCCTCCGTGAGTGCTCGACGGCCGGCGCCGTTGCGGCCATTCGATCATCTCCCATTGGTTCGTGAACTTGAGACTAGGTTTTGATGGAGTATTTGCAGCAGTGGCAGGTGATTGAGGTTGGCTTCCTCAAATGATACTCAGTCAATAGTCAGATAAGCCCAATTTTGTTCCACTGTCAAGATGACTGTCTTCCTATGGCTATCCTATCTAATGCGGGCTTTTCTCTCTCAAGGCTCTCTCTACTATATGAACCTCAAACCACCTAACCGCCTTCCTCACCGCAAGACGTCCTCTTCCATCCGCACTACACCTCATACCCATCAACCTCAACCGCCCTCATGCAAGCCAACAAGAGAAACCTAGGCATCCAAATCACACACCACTGACACGGCCCGATATGGGCGCCACGTCGTCCATAGCTGCGAGAGCAGGGCCGGTCGCCGTCATTTCGACAGACATGCGTCGCAGGCTCGGCGGGCATGCGGTTTCCATCCGTGAAGCATCGGCAGCATGTCCAGAAGCAGGATTCACGGAAGACTTCAGGCGGGTCTAGAGCCGTGAATTCTTGTAGAGTTAGAGGAACCATACGGAGAGACATTTTGGTATATGTGAAAGCGAGATAATATTCAGGGTGTTTGTGTTGTGGCTGAGCAATGGTTTGAATTGGGATTCGTGTAGGTTGAGGACTGAGATGTTGGAAATGGAGTTCCAGGGCTGTCATGTCGGGGTTCATCCTCACGATATTTGTAGTTCGCCTTTTGAAAAGACATAGTTGTGATTCAAGAAGATCCTTCAGCCGTGAACATCTTCCACGTTTCCCCTAAGACTCAGAGGCTCGTGTCCTAAGTACTTCCCACTCATCGCGCGTCACAACCGATCATTGTAGATCAACGACTGTTCTTCTAAGCCACACAAATTAATCAGAGAAGCTCGCGCAAGCTTCCACCACCCCTCAAGAATCACTCGATAAACGTCTGGTATGTATGCAAGGTCTCAATTGCCTTCAGACATCGAGAAGCGCAGGCGGAGCAACTCACCTACGAGGTCTGGCGGTGGATTCTAGCTCAATCAGAATTTCATCAGCCAAGTCTCATTGAATACAGGAATGACCATGCCATTGCTAGTAGTTCGTATATTTACGCAAGCGTGGGCGTACTGTGCAACTTGATCACGAGCTGGGATGATAGCAGATGCTCGCATGCTCTTAGACATAGATGCGGACATGATGAACCTTGAAACTGAGCGAACTTGTAGCTTTTTCAAGAAAGAGTGAGTTCAGAACTGGGTATCAACTAAATACTATGTAGCCTACCGTAACTATAGCAAAGATCTGCGCACTACCAATCTCATCAATCCCTCCTCGCCGCCACCATCGCCTCCTCAGCACGAAATCTCAAATCCAACACATCCATCGGAGTCCAAGCCCCTTCGGGCCCAACAATCGCACAACACGAAGCAGGTCCAGCATGTACCTGCAAAGTCCCCGGGACCACCACGCAACCCTCAGGGTTCCGGCAGTGCATCAGCCTCAACCCGTGTGCCGGCATCGCCTTGTAGAAGCCGCAGTTGCAGCATTTCCACCTGGCATCCTTGAGAAGCCTCGCGCCGCCGTCGCTCTGGCTCGCCGCATGGGCTTGGAACACCGCGTAGGAGAAGGGCCAGACTAGCTGATGCGGGCCGGGAACGCCGCTGTCTTCGTTGGTGTCGCCGATGCTGCCTTGGCTTGCATCGCTTGGACTTTGAAAAGCGTCGTAGGACTCGTGTTGTTCTTCTTCAATCTCTGTCTTCAATTCGACACGACGTCTTCTCTTGAAGATTTTGCCTTTGGCCATTGTGAAGGTTGTTTCTTGCTTGTCTTTCTTGTTGATGTGTGTTTTGAGAGCTGTTGTAGTGATGTAGGTTATGTCTGTTGTCTTTTGTCTTTGAGTCTTGCTTCGATGATGAGAGTCTAGTTGGGCCTAGCTGAGTTCCTTGGTCATACTTATATACCTTGCCTTCGGGGCGCTTGAGGCGTTGCCACGGGTTTACAAGAGATTCGAGCAGACTCACTCCTAGTGAAGCCTGTGATGAGGACAGCATCAAAGGTTTGTACGACTCTCCCTCAATGACTTGCAGCCACTATAGCCCAAACATGTTATGAATGATTCAATGAGAGAGAGCTAATTCTCATGTCTGTAGAAGATGGAAATCCTCACCTACTCATTACCTTCATTATAAGTCACCACATGATGCAAACATTTTTGTGAAGGAAAGGGCAATTGAGATACGTCTATGCAAGTCAAACAGAACATGCAGATCCAATGACTGTTTCCAGTCAGATAGAGCTCCATCCAGCAGTGAATAAGATAGTTCCTTGGGTAAAAAGCTTCTCAACATCATGCAAAAACAAAAGAATGCGTCGAGGGGGAATCGAACCCCCGGCTCCCCGACGCTGCTTGATGGCAACGGAGAATTTTACCACTAAACCATCGACGCTGATGTGATGAATTGTGACTCCAAGTGAGCTACACGTTTCTGACGAAGTCTGAGATTCTATTGCGATGATTTGAGGGTTGTGGGTTAGTTGTGGGGATAAGTGAGGGCTGAATGAGATCTCCGGGCCTCAGCGGGTCCGAGTTCCCGAAGCGGGGTTCCATCATCGGGCCGATGAAAGCGGAAGATGCTCAGAAAAGGAAGTGGAACGTGAGGAATGTGCAGCTGAGTCTAGTCTAAAGGTCAGACTTGTTTGCAGGAAGAGTTGAGAGTCGAGAGGGAGATCAGGTATAACCTCAGTTGATGGGACTGGAATGGGTGCTATACAAACGCAAAAAGGCCAAGATCGACAATGCTCTTACGGTCAACGGCCGAACGGCGGCACCGGAACGGCCATGCAGGGCTGATCAGTTGGCCCAAACGGCGCCATCCGCGTGCCGAGACTGGTTCAGCTTGTGGAGAATCAGTCATCCACGGTGACACAACCCAAGCAAAATGCACGTTACAAAAGAACGATGAGCAAACATCAAAGCGTCAACAGGCAAAACAGAGAGTTCCGTCAACTGATGTGTGCGGGCATGAGGAAACGATGGGTGGAAACAGCTCTTCGACTCGTGTTGCGTCAACACCAAGCATTGCTGTGTTTTCTGCCTGCAGCCAAGCAATCCGTAGGATGGTCAAACAGGAAGGTGTACGGATACATAGTGCGGAGCGCAACTCGCGCAAGCTTTTGGCTGCCAGTCTGGGGTTCTTCAGGTCTAGTGCAAATAGAGTGATGGAGAGAGGCAAGGGTGTTTGTCGACTAGTATGAGTGGGAAAATGGGGCAGAAGGAGTTCGTCAGGGAAAAGATTGGCATGTCAAGACTCAGAAGACGCATCGTAGACCGAATATGCGGAGTGACGAGTAGATCGCGGGTGGTCGTTGACTTAGACTCTTGGCTTGCTGAATCATGGGCGAATGAAGGTAGAGAGATTGGTGACGTCGCGGCGCATGTGAGCGAATTGGAGGGGTGGGAAGAGGGAGAGGAGGGGTTACAGCAGGGCACTCTCCGAGGGTTGGATGGGCATGCAGTAGTTGATTAGGTCAAGCCATGATTGGCGCGGGCTCTTTGCGAGGATTCAATACGTGCTCGTTCTTAGAAACAATTAGACAACAGAGGATGAGTTGGGAGGGCGAGGATGGGATGTTCGGACCAAACGATGCGAAGCGAGGCTGTTGGCTAATGTGAGACGGTGTGAGCTAGAGATGAAGAGACGAAAAGGCTATTGGCGGGTATGGGGAAAAGAGGAGGACGGGCCTGCTGGGGGATGGAGTGCCGCGAAAGTCTGGCGGACCGCGGAGGAGGAGGAGGGCGGAAAGGGTGGGAGAGTGAGCAATCGAGGCGGAACGTGGCATGCATACCTCCTAAGGTACATAGTAAGTAGGGTAGATTGAAGAGAGCGTGAGTGACAATCAATTGAGTGCAGTCCACTCCGGGAGAGGCCCGGCAGCCCCGGCGAGGGCGACGTCTCACTTGAGCTGCTGATGCTATTTGAAATTTGCACAAATTGTTGAGAGATCCTAGACAAGCCGCAGTCAAGGTATTCAGGTTGATTGCAGCTACCTTAGGCATAAAGTGAGGTAGGTATTCTTGGAGTGCCGTCAGGGAGTAGAGTTTTCGTTTTCCTGGACCGGATACCAGCAGTTGTCATTGTCATGGATAGCGAGAGCGACTGCAACAACACGGGCGTTGATTGTCACCATGTCACTCTCTGGCGGAGCAAGGGACGGGCAGAAAAAAAGAAAGGAAGAAAAACATTGCGACGAGACCAGGGTCCAAATCTTCCTAGTGGCAGTGGAAAGGAACCTCAAGGAAAAAAACAATACGGTGGATTGGCTGGCTGAGGACCTGGAGACTGGAGTGGAAGTGTGGAATGGCAGTCGCAGTGGGAACCGTGCGGAAGTATCCCGGAAGTACCTTCAGTCTTGTGCCGACTGCACTTTCCTCGCCCAAAACTTAGACGGACGAGGGAAGGAACGGGACGAATATGGAGGAACTTCGGGATCCTTCCATTCTTTCTTGCCTCACCTCAGCTCAGCTCACCTCACCTCAGATGTCACTATGTACCATTCTTCAACCGGATCAAGAAAGCACCATACCGCCATCACCTCACTTGATGGCCAGACGCTTCGAGAAACTTGAACTACATTCGACGGTATAGCAATACCGTGTGCTGGTTTCAAGCTGCCGACAAAATACAGCATGTCGACACCACAGTCATGACTCGAGCCGGCCTCTCCACGACAACCCGAAGAAAAAGTGGGCGGTGACGCCGCCTCCTCTGGGCGCCGAGCCTCCAAATGGAGTTGGCGATCTCGCGAACTGGCTTGGCCAGCAACCTCGCGGCACAAAATCACGCCGCCAATGCTTGGAGCCTTGGGAGACCCAATCCAAGTCGCACAAACTCACCAAGAACTGTCAAAATGGCACCAAAAAGACACCGGTCAAGCTTTTGCCAACGGTTCGTCAAGAGACTCCAAGAAGGACAAGACTCTGTAGGATTGACACAAGTAATGGACCCTTACAGATATTCCATGGCAAATCGGTGCATACACCAGATCCGAAATCTGGGGTTTTCAACGACATGCGTTGCGAATGAGGGGTTAGGTACTGCAAGACGCATCGGTGGATTGATATCAAGTCAATCAACAAGCGACACCGTCCGTCGCCCAACCCGGCAGAAAGAGGCTCAAGTTTTCGACTCCGCCCAACGGCGCTTCATCTCATGTCAACCAAACCCTGTCTCTCCGTATGCAATTTTTTTCTGTGCGACAAAAGAGATTAATCGCCTCCCGGGGGGATTACGACACCACGCGGCCAGTCATGGCAACAAGTCGGTCACTTTGGGTACATCCTTGTTTTGAGCCGCTTGGCATACATGGGCCATTCACCGTCTGGAACCGAGCACCGCTGACACTATCCTCTGTACCCTCGTCATTGGGCTCCTTTGTTATCCTCTTGGAGTTTCGCCTCTCCTCTCAGTTGCCCCCAGCGCATCATGGCGCTGCAATGTGTGAGAAGCATGCGTGTCGCATTCCCATCGGCCCCGAGTGCCGGTCACCAAAACAATGGAAGATGCGGATTTCAGAATAAGCTGCCTTACACACAGAGAGAGAAGGATCTGGCCCGTCGCAGTGGAACGTGGCTCTGGGCAGCATGTCTCACACGACGTGCTCCCTAGTCCCTATCGTATCGCATCGCATCCGAGGGCGTGTGCGTGCTACTTGAAAAGCTGGGACAAGACTAGCCCGCAATCAGGCATGGTTCATCCGCAGGGCGTCTAGTGTAGATGAGCAGACATCAAGAACCTGAGCAACCTGATCAACCCTGCCAGACGAACCCAAATTTGAGGCGCGATATCGGTAGAGCCAGAGAGCCACCACTGAGGCAACCTTATTCCGCGGATTCGCATCCCCTACAAGCTGCTGTCTGTCTTTGAACTTTATAGACGTAGCAAGTCAAGTGCGGGCAGAATACAACCGGAAGACGGCACCGACACCGTTCGAGTGATGGATTGGCAAGGTTTTACGGCAAGCCGCAATAGAAGGACGACGACTATCCCGTCGGTACTTCTGAGGTACCAGAAAAAAGACACCCACGTAAGCAAACCCCCCAAGCCATGCCGCCATGCGCCTCCCACCGACGGCGGACAGCAGGAACCACTGGGAACGCAGCCCGGGGGAAAAAAGAGCAGTAAATGGTTCTTTCTCTCCCACTTGCGGCTTGCCTTCCAGGTACCTAGGTATCGCCCCCCAGGCTTGCCAGGCCCACGCCCCAGTGTGGTACCCCCCACCGTCTGGCGCTAAGCGGGGCCTGGCTTTTTTTCTTGCATGGATCATCCTCTGCTATCAGTACGCCAACATCTTGGCTGTCTTTTCCCTGCGACATACTTAGGTTCCATGAACCCCGAAGCTTTTCCTAGTTTCTGTCGCTCTTTTTGTTCATGTAAACCCTCGAGGTCTACCGATACTGACCCGAGACTTTGTCGACATTGTTCCCAGGACGTTCATTGTCGCGACATCTTCAACCAGAAGGCGCAATTCCGAACGAGGCGCACAAGAAGCCGACCAACGCGCACGAAGAGGCAACACCCTCTTGGTGACCTCATAGCTCCTGGGCTTCGTATCCGCTTCTCTCACTTTCCTCGACTCGAATCGACACCACCCGATCCTTTCCTTACCTTAGGCCCATCTCCCTCTTGGCACGCCGACTTTTTCCTCGAATGCATCGAGCTATCCTCGCTCTCGGGACGCAATCCATCGACTGGGGAGTTTCGCGCCCTTCGCCCGGCCCAGCTTACATTCCTTTTGCTGCTGGCGGTTGAGCGACCCCAAATAACACGGCTTGCGACGAATTCCTAGTATTTCACCAACGCCAATCGAACCAGCAACACACACACATATAGAGATACCCTCCCAATTCCGCCACCATGGCGTGGGATCACCTCTCAATCACGAAGCCGCACTTGGTGTACATCATCTTGGGCGGCTTCACCACACTTTTCATGCTGTGCTCTTCCATTATCAAGGAGAAGATGTACATTGGTGAAGCTACCGTTGCCACCATCTGCGGTATCATCTTCGGCCCCCACGCCGCCAATCTGATCGACCCGAAAAGTTGGGGAAATGTCGACTTGGTTACCATCGAGTTCTCCCGCATTGTTCTCGTCGTCCAATGTTTCGCCGTCGGTGTCGAATTGCCAAAGTTCTACATGGAGAAGCACTGGAGATCCGTTACTCTTCTATTGATCCCCGTCATGATGTTTGGCTGGCTCATTGTCAGTCTTTTCATCTGGTGGCTCATTGACCCATTGTCTTGGCTCGAGAGCTTGGTCATTGCCGCCTGTGTCACTGCCACCGATCCCGTCTTGGCTTCTTCCGTCGTCGGTAAGGGCAAGTTTGCCAAGCGAGTTCCCAAGCATTTGCGCGATCTTTTATCGGCAGAGTCCGGCTGCAACGACGGCATGGCCTTCCCTTTCGTCTATCTCGGAATCTACCTGATCCAGGAGCACATGGATGCCCGGAAAACGACTTTTCACTGGATTGTCTACACGATTCTCTATGAGTGCATCTTTGGCGCCATTTTCGGCTTCCTCGTTGGCTACATCGCACGTCACGGCATCAAGTTTGCAGAGGAGCGCGATCTGATTGATCGGGAGAGTTTCCTGGTCTTCTACTTCGTGCTCGCTTTGTTCTGTGCTGGTGCTGGTAGTCTGCTCGGTATGGACGATCTACTAGTCGGCTTCGCTGCCGGTGTAGGTTTCTCAAACGATGGTTGGTTCTCTTCAAAGACGGAAGAATCTCACGTGTCCAACGTTATCGATTTATTGATCAATCTGGCATATTTTGTCTTCCTGGGAACCATCATTCCCTGGGAGCAGTACAACAACGTCGCTGAGGGTATCACCCCCTGGCGCTTGGTTGTAATTGCCATTTTCGTCATCTTGTTCCGCCGCATTCCCGCCATGCTTATCTTGAAGCCATTCATACCGGACATCAAAACATGGCGTGAGGCGGTTTTCGCTGGTCACTTTGGCCCCATCGGCGTCGGTGCCATCTTTGTCGCCATTCTCGCTCGCGCTGAGTTGCAGTGGGAGACGCCCGTGCCGCTCTCCGACACCCCGCCCGAGGATATCGAACACAGAACACTCGTTGCGGTCATCTGGCCCATTGTGACATTCCTAGTCATTTCGTCCATCATTGTTCATGGCTCATCTGTCGCTGTCTTCACTCTTGGCAAGCGTATCAACACGTTGACAATCACCATGTCCTACACCACCGCCCCCGAAGACGGCCCTACCTGGATGAACCGCCTGCCGAGAATCTCGTCGCAGTCTCGATCGCAAGCCCGAACCATGTCCGACACCGAAGGAGAAGAGCTGAAGATGCCCGAGTTCCCGCCTGGCACCCTGCCCCCAGTGGGCTTCCCTGGCGCTTTCTTGAGACGTCAAAAGGACGAAGACGGAAACAAATCTCGCGCTCGGTCTACCTCAAGGAAACGCAGCAGCAAGAAGAACAAGTGGGACGATGGCATCGGACCCGGCGGACCTGTTTCCCAATCTGCCATTTTCCCCACTAAACGCGAACCGCTCCTCAACGAGAAGGATCCTCAATCACCCGACGCCGAGGGCACTACGACCCCTAGGCGCGATTCTGAAAGAGGTCGCGCGAGAGACCCGGAGAAGGACGACGATGAAATCACACCATCCCCCGATGAGGGATCTAGCCGAACGGAAACGCCACCCAAGATCTCCATCTACGAGGAAGGAGATAACTTGGTGGTTGAAAATGAGGATGGAGACGTGCTGACTGTTGAGCGCTCTGAAAGTAGAGCAGAGGCAGTTGCGGAAGCTGAAGCTCATCACCGCGTACCAGTCGAGACCGACATGTCGGCTATTGCGGCTGCTCATTCAAGGCAAGGCGAGAAGTTCAACTGGACCCTGGACTCGTTCAAAAAGAAGGTCGGGGACGTGTACACGTCAGAAGTGGAGAAGCGTAAGGAGAAGAGCAAGTCCGACAGACGGCATGAGCCAGCTCGAGCTTTCCAGTTCGGCAATACCGTGAGTTGCTCCAGATTGGTGATGGACGGAACGAGAAACTAACAAGTGCTTAGATTATTGTTGAAGACGAGGATGGAGAAGTTATCAAGACTTACGAGCTGCCGTCGTCAAAGGCTCCCAAGGAACCCGGAACAGGCCTTACCCAGCAAAGTCTTAAGTATCTTGGCATGGGAGGTCTTCTGAAGGCATCAGAGAAGCCTGCGGTTGAAAACGAAAACAACGGAGAGTCAAGCGCCGACGGCGCCGCGAAGACACCTGCCAAGTCAGGATGGCAGAAATACCTGGGCGGAGGTGTCGGTAACGCAAAGAACGCTGCAGAAGGTCAAAAGGAGGATGATCGACACATCAGATTTACGATTGGTGGAGTTGGCCAGCGCATGACTAAAGAGGACTTCATTCGTGAAGTTCAAAAGCTCGACGACAAGACCCGGCGACAGGTTGTGGACCAGTCCACTGCTTCTCAGCGCGTAAAGTCAATTGCAAAGGGAGATATCCCTTCTCCGGCTGACAGATACGCCAACATTCCGACCATCAAAATTGGAAGCGATTCCAACGAGAAACGCTCTGGCTCTTTCACGCCTCAGCGGGTGAACACAGCGCCAGCCTTGCCGCCGGCGCCGGCGCAACAAGCAGATGCTGAGGGTGATGAGGAGACGGCTGCTGAGAAGAAGCGCAGACTGGCAGTTCTGTCGAACCAGAGCGATGAGGATTTGGATAGCGGAGAGACGCCTGCCGAGAGACGCCGTAGAGAGGCTGCGCTCGGCTCAAATCAGGATGATGATTCGGATGACGAAGGTGGAGAGAGGGTTCCCCCGACGAGGAGAGGCATCCGATTTGCAGAGAGCACGGTGCCGAGGGGACGCAAGTAGACGAGAGGATGATGAGGACGGCATAGACTGCGAAAGAAGCATAGCATTGCATTGGGTGTGGTTATATGCATCATGACAGCGATACCTGCATGGGTTTTGACAGGCTCGGATGGAAACGAGCAAAAGAGACGTCTTACTAAACGGCCGAGGTTTGTGGTAATTGTATTGTCTATTCTGTGCACATATTTGAGGGGAATGAATAAGGCCTTTTTGTAGATTTCAATTTCATCTCTAAATGAATATTGCGTGCTTGACAAGTGAATGATGAGCGGGAAGCGACTAGAAGTGACAAGCACCGGGCTTGTGGATATTGGAGCGGTATCTGGTGACAAACGCTCAGCATCGCGGATACATCGGCTGATACTTCAGACCGGAAACTCTATGACACTTCTTTTTAGGAGACTGCGATGAACGCAATCCGACGTTTGGAAAGAGCCCGACAGCGCAAAATCCGAAGAGTAGACAGACGCTGATGTCATGTTCCCGGAATAAGGGCCGAAAACTTCCCTCGTCTCGGGGGCCGTGGTCGTCTGCCGATGTGGGGCGGAGGCGCAGCCGGGGGTGGCGGGGTTGGTGGGGCTCCGAGACGGTCGCTCTATGGTGGGGGGTGGGGGAGAGGGGGAGAGCTCTCGGTATCTAAGTCTGTGGTTTTGTCGTGACTGGTTTCTGGATAGCACTGAACATCAAATAGCTCGGGGTCGCCCTCATTGAATTCGGCTGCAACCCGTTTCATTAGGCCATTGGAGCTCCCGGCATCGAAAGCGCAGAGGTTGGAGGGAGTGTATAATATGCTGGCTAGGGGTAAGCTCGTTAGGTTTACTCGCTTCTAATTGTCGTGAAATACTATTGGGACGAATACGTGACGAACTAAAGAGATTGAGAACTAGTCCGTAGTAGTTCACTACCTTCAGCATTATTAAGAATTTCTACTAAGACAAATACGTAACGAACGAAGGAGTAGGAGAAAGAGAAGGAGTAGGAGAAAGAGAACGAAAAAGAAAAATAAGATGAGAATTAAAACAAGAACTAAAAACAGAACGAGAACTGGTTTATTATGTCTTACTTCACTACTCCTAATCGCTGTGAATTACTATTAGAACGCATACGTGGCGAACGAACGAGGATAAGAATCGGCCTATAGTTTATGCGGCTTTAGACCTTTGTTGGTCTGTTCTTGCTTTCCCTAAGCGGGCGATGTGAGATTAGTGAGATGTGATCCTCTGTGAATTCCTACAAAGAAGGACACCCCGCATGACAATCTTCACCGCATCCCTTGGAATGGTCTGTCCTCTTGGTTTAGCTATTTGCTGCGGTTTGATTCGAGCCGTATATAGAGGTATGATAATGCTAGAAGTCATTGGCGTTGCTCGTTCTTCCAAGCCTGCCACATGCCTTAGAACCTTTCTGTCCATGGTCGAAAGGGGTACTTTCTAATTCCTCAAGCCTTCCGCCTGACCAGCGGGCAAACTGCATACGCTATGGAACTGACCTCGATTCTAAGGGACAACGGTTCTATTTCTCATTTATGAGAAGGTCAAAAATAAAGTCAGAATGCAGCTTAGCACATGTGTTGAGACCTGCAAGAATTTTAAGTTGGTCGTCATATCTCGACTTATGATAGCTAGCATGTTATCCTTGAGCCGAAACCACAGACTTCGCCAGCATCTGGTACAATCTTGGAATAGATATCCGATTGCTTCAATGCCAATGTATTCGGCACTGGTCGCGGAGCCTTGCTCCCAAACAATATCAGCATATGACTAGCTATGAGTTTGCGAACACTTTCCAAACTTGGGCCTCTGACAGCGCATCCAACACCTTGACGATACGGCAAACCAAAACAGTCTCAGGTCGACGTGACACCAGCAAACCAACTTCGGGGCTCCCAGTGAGAACGACTCATCAGTCTGCTGGGAAGTCTTCTAATCACCAGAAGCTTGATTGTAGAGCAACGTTGATTCATGGGAGTCCTCTTTGGTTGTGAATCATTGGCTGTTGGCGTCCTCAGATATCGTGATATAAAAAAGGAGCTTTGAACCTACCTATGCAATAATAAGCCCTCTGTACGTCAAGCACTACAGTCCTGGCTTATTTCAGCCATACTAAACGAAGCCAAATCCTCTACTTGCCTCTATCAAATCAGCCAAGCCAATCAAAGATGTACACTCACCGCCGTAACCGTCACCCTCGACTCTCGTCTCCAGCCCGTACCTGTTTCCCACCATCGCAGGACCTACCCTTCTTTGACGACATGCCGCGTCCTCAGAACTCTCACTACGAGGAACCACAGGCACTCGAGCATCCTCGGCGCGACTACCTCGGTTATGCATCGCCGAGATATGACAGGGACAACAATGATGACGACCACAGTCACAGCACGCAGTCATACATCCACTGGCCTCCAGGTCCGTCGTACTGGGAGACCGCACAACGCGCCCGTCTCCCAGCCCATTATCTACCCTCTCCATGGAGAGACACCCACAGGGCCAGACTGCGCCATGAGAGGGAAGAAAGAACAGAGACGCAATTCGAAGTCCTCCCTAGCGTCGAGAACAACGACCATTACTCTCCAATCTCCACGGACCCCCAGTGGGCAAGTGACTCGTCCTGGACGTCCCTACCGACTCCCGCATCCGAAACATTCACCTCACGATCCCCATCCTTCAGCGACGACGATTCCATCTCGGACCTCCATCACCGCCGCCACCGCCGGAATCAAGTTCCCGATTACGTCCGCTCAACACCCGGATCATCCCCCCTTACCTTCCCATCCCTATCCTCATATTCAGAAGACATCAACGACCGCAGCGCAACAGTCCGGCCCCCAACGCCACCCCGACGCCGGCAGCAAGCCCCATCCCCATCGCCACCTCCACCCTCCGTACACGCTCATCTACCGACCTTGCCGTTCCGCCTCAGTCGTCAGGCGGGTAACCCGCACCTTCGGGCTGGGGTTCTCGCCCCTCCTGCTTTGCAGGCGTCGCGAGTTGACACGTGCAATTTTCCCTGGCAGCCTCAGCGATGCCGCTGTGGGGAGTGTTTCTGTGAGAATCATTTGGATCGGAATGGTCGGATCGTGGTGGTTGATGGGGGGAGGTTTTGTGCGTTTTGTCGCGAGAACCATTGCTGGTATTAAGGTGAATGGCGAAGAGGGCCGTTATCATGTGCTCGATATGTAGTTACTATAGACTGCAGAGTGATGTGGTTTAGGAGTGGAAGAAATTTGGGTTGATTGTAGTTTAGGAGGGTGGTGTTGAATGAGGAGGTGAAGCGGGTTTTCTACCCACGTTTAGGGGAACCGCCAAAAGTCATACCGTTTCAACTTATTTAAGTCACGTTCCCTTGTACAATCTTCTCTCGCAGTTATATTAACCTATGGCAAGTTAGTACACGATGGCGTTGTCAGTCATCAGCAACGCAATGCTCAGCGAACGGGGTGGTCGACCTTAAGTTATTTCACCTTTTAACACACGTTTCTACATCATTGGCGTTTGATTAATCACTATAGAATTGCGGCGGTGGTATCGTGAAATTATTTCAATATTAAGGCATATTATACAATGCCGTCGCCTTTCCTATTACCGCCCGCTGAGAACGTAGATCGCATGCTCTCTCGATAGCTCTTACTCCTCGTTGCTTTTGGTCTCTCAACTCCATTCACCTCGACCGTAAAGTATGCGTCTCGGCCCTCAATATTGCTGTCTGTACTCGATGTATCTCTCTCACTAGCCCTTTTCGATTCCTTGATATGTATCTCCACATTCTTGCTGATGCCTCCCGGCAAAGGCGGTGACTTATTCAGGTGCTCCTCGCTCCCTGACATTGTAATTTTCGTAATCGGATACTGCGTGTAAGGCGGCCGGTTCTTCTTCTTATTACTGCTGCTGCCTTCCGTCACACTTCCAAGCATGATGCTCCCGGGCGCCGGTAGGTCGGAACGGTTAGGCTTGTCGTACTTGTTGTTGGTACCGCCTCGTGATAGAGTACTCGAGATGGAACCGAAGATGGGCGTAAGCCAGCGTCTAAGTAGGGGGAAGATCATCGGGATGTTGGTGGTAACGATTGCGACAAAGGTCTCCCGGACGGCCCACGAACCTGCCTGTTGCGCGCCTGTGACGGGGTTCTGCGATGCGCACAAGTCAGCTATCGAGGCTTGGAAATACAACAAAAGGATCGGCCTACCGTGATAATGAGCACGCAGCGTAGGATACCGGCCATAGTTACAAAGATACCTCCTGAAAACAGTACAATAAGGCCAAGTTTCTGTCTCAGGGGTAGTCTGGCGCTCCACAGCATCGGTATCGGTATGCTTAGCAGGTAGAAATCCGTGATGACATTGAGACAGACGGTGACGATGATGTTGACCTTTGAAATGGCCGGCTGGCAAAAGTCTGGCTACCCTTTAGTCACTGACATCAGAGAGAGTTATGCGGTACTCACTGCCAGGGTCTGGGTAGATTTGCCAGTTCTTCCGCATCGGAAAGCAGCTAAAGATGATGGAAAAGAACACTGCCAGCCATGTTGTCGCGATCAGAACGAACCCCGCAATGATTCGCTTGCGAAAGTTATGCAATCCCTCCTGAGTGACTTGTCAGCTTGGAAGCGAATAATTGGTTTTTTTGAGCTCCCCGTACTGTTAGGCGCACGTAAAATGTGCACATTGCAGCCTTTGCAGGCCAGAGGACGAGACAGCTGTAAGTAATCCATCCCGCGATTTGTGTCTTCGATCCGTTGACCCTGTGAATCTGATGTTAGACCTTGCCCTCAAAACGACACATAGTTCATCGCCCTACCTAGTCGAATATTCTTCGCTGTTTGGATCCAGGTTTCTCCGCTCCTCGTCCGTCATGCCATTATTGGCGAGTCCCTTCCAATGCGCTCCGACGCTGTACGCTAAAGCAGTTTCGGCTGAGTACGTGAACTGTGCAATCTCATTAGTGTCTCGATACTAATACCAGTTACCAGCTGTCGGGAGACTCACGATGATAAGCAGCATGAGGTAGTCATCTGCCTGCAGACGCTTAAAGCCAACAGCGACGATTCGCGCATAGGTCCTCAAGAAGATGACGGCGATGGCCACGCCAAGAAGCGCGAAAGCTTCTGTCGAGAATTCGGACATATCGTTGGGATCATGTCAACTGGGTACCCCGCGTGGTACAGGAAGACGACGAGTTTAATGGCATGGAGTAGAGAAGAAGGGGAAACGTCGTCTTCAAGAGTAGTGCCAAGTGGAGTACTCCGTAGAGTAGGCAAGGTATATAGCAGTGAAACCCAGATAAGACTCTTGGGGAATAGGTCGTCGAGGGGCCCTGCTTTTCAGCTCTGCAGATCGCAGCTGCTGCAGAACAAACCTAGCAAGGGCAAATGGCCGGGGTCCCGGAAATGGACAGGAGACGTACGTACTTCGATACTTATGTCGCATTCCCCAGTCACCGCGGAGACTTTAACTTGGACACAAGCGGCGTGGGCGGCTCGTGGGAAGTGCTGAGAAAGGATGTGCTTACGTGCATATCCGTTCCCTTCACTGAAACATAAACCACATGCCCTAGCAAACCCAAAAATACGTGCGAATACCTAGTGGGTGATTTGGTTACACACGGCCGACGGGACCGGTGATGATGATGAAGATGATGATTGGGACGAAGAAGCACGAGGAGTTCGGACGATAAGAAGCCCGGGCCAGCGACTTGGACTCCCCGGCCAATTTCAAAGGTGCTTTCTGCGCTGGTCAATTGTCTGCTGTACGGATACATATTTGTACGGAGTACATAGGTAATCAATCAGATGTCAGGCAAAGAGGCTGAGACAGCTTGTGGACTATTCCACATTACGATAAGTTGCCGAAATGGGCTTGCCGCTATGTTCAGGAGAAGCACTAACGGCGGTTGTAAGTCCCGCTCGCCGCTCGCGTGGTGAAGCATCCCCTTCTACGGGTACGGACATGTCATCTTGATGGCATTTGATCGAAAACTAGCAGACTTCTGGCCGACATCGATGCGGCTCTTCGAAAGTCCAAAATACAGATATGGTCAAGCGTCGGCCTCTTTCCCCAGAATGATGCCCAATACGACCAACCCCAATGCTAATGCACGCAGACAATGTCGGCAGATCATTAGCTCAGGGTGATGGCAAGGCAAACACAACCATCTTGAAAGCACATCCATGGGTACTGCTGCAGCGCTGGAGCTATCCTGCGCAACCCTCGTCTTGAAATTAGGCTTTGACTTGTCTGTGTATCCTCAGTTGATTGCCCCTTCCCCTATTCGAGGCCTAAATGCAAGTAATATTTTCGTGGTGTTTTGCTAGATATCTTGACATGAGTCTTGCGTTCTAGAAGAATGGCATCTTCACCATGTCTGACATTACGGAAGTTCCGAACATCAACTAACAGCCCTGTCGAATTGTTAGTCTGTCGTTGGCTAAAAGTGTTATGGGCCAGGGGCACGGCCTTGACTCGCGAGGGTTACATGGCCGTGGGCCAATACATGGGGTCAAAAAGCGCGGCGCCGGAGATAGCACCCTTGCGAGCCGTGTCAACGACTGTGGATATCTCCAGAATGACGAGTGGTACCTGCGTTGAAGAAATCTCCAATCCAAGAGCGACAGTCGGACAGAGAGGCTTTAGTGGCCTTGATTGTATCCCGAAGATTGATGAGCTGTTGCACTTTACCGTCCGATAGGTTCAACCGTCTTGAGGTTGTTAAACTACGTACCGCCGTGACGGTGCCGCCACTGGTTCATCCTGGATAAACATTGTTTCGGCACAAGCTCTGACTTCAGCAAACTTCACCGTCTTACGGTCAAAGAGCATCTTGCATATTATCTATATACTCGTCATGACCGCAAACCTCCCAAACCGACGCAATTCAATCTGCAATAGACAGTCTCCTTGCCAAATTGTCAGTGTCGCGCAACCGGCGTATCAGACGTGACAGGCAGTCCTCCTCCGCCCCGAGTCCACCACGAGTCAACGACCCTGCTACCATCCCATCTAGTCGGGTGGGTCTTTATCTTTGTGCTAACAGTAAACTTGTCATCCGGGGAACGCCTCCGGCTGTGTCTAGACGTCAGGGCATCCTTGACAGCGCCTGAGCGCAGCTCCCATCAAGACCCCTCAAAGGTACGGGGTTCTTCGAGGCTTGAGCCTTGATCACTATTTGTGCCACTATTCTGTCAGCTAGCAGGATGCTCATACTCAGACAATGCTGCTCCGCTGCAAGCAGCCGGCCGGCAAATTGATGGACAACTTCTTCAAGAATTGATAGATGCCTTGGGGAATGGAAACAGCAAGGGGGGCATGCAGAATTCCCTGCCATTGACGAATCAGCACTCAATGTTGCCCATTCGGATATGGTACCCAAATCCACGAAGGATGCAGATGCCAGAAGACCAACCAACGCCAGATCAATCATCAATGCAGCTAGCCAAGAAAGACCCAATATTCCCATATTCGTCTGCAGGCCAGGGTTTTTGACAGAATTATAGTGCTTATTCGCAATTCAGGATGAGAGAGAGGCAGGCCCAACCCTTTTCCCGCACCGGTGGGATCTTCGCCTCGAAACAAACGCCTCGAAAAATATTTGTTCAATTGTCTCAGAAGCATCGACCTCGGGGGCCCGGAACCGCTCCCGCTCTACACAATGGAGACTCTCGATTTCGTCGTAATCGGAGCCGGTGAGTAACATCCCCCCAAATAACTACCGAAGGTCACAATCTGAAGCCGTGTCTGTAGGATGGTACGGTCTAGCGGCGGCCAAGACTCACCACCAGCTCCATCCCCGAAACTCGCTGGCACTCTTCGAGCAAGCCTCGACCGCCGGCGGAGTATGGGCCGAGCACCGTCTCTACCCGGGGCTGAAGAGCAACAATATGCTCGGGACCTACGAGTACCCCGACTTTCCCATGGACCCCGAGACCTTCGGGATCTTGCCCGGAGATCACATTCCAGGGCAGGTCCTGCATGACTATCTGACAAAATACGCCGAGACCTTTGGCATATTTGACAAGATTCGCTTCCAGCACAAGCTTCTCTCGGCAGAACATCGAGAGAGCGGCGGCTGGATCCTGACGCTTGTGAACGGCAAGGACGGCGGCGAGGTTCAGGCCCTCGCAAAGAAGCTGGTTGTTGCAACTGGCCTCACTTCAGAAGCCTTCCTTCCCGACTTCAAAGGCCAAGAGACGTTTAGTGCCCCCATTTTTCATGGCAAAGACTTCCTTCAGCATGCAGACACTCTGGAATCAGCAAAGTCCGTGACGGTATTTGGCGGTACCAAATCAGCGTGGGATCTCGTATATGCCTACGCGATTAAGGGCATCACGGTGAACTGGGTGATCAGAGGTATCTCGAGATGATCACATTACAATCATCGCACCAATGCTGACGGAGCGTAGAATCCGGGCATGGTCCAGTATGGATGGCTCCCCCCTACGTCACGCCCTTGAAGAAGTGGCTCGAGAAGCTCGTTCATACTCGCGCCCTCACATGGTTCAGTCCCTGTTCATGGGGCGATGCCGACGGATACGTTAAGACGAGGAACTTCTACCACGGCACGGCCATCGGACGCGGCATCACCAACAACTTCTGGAGCGTCCTCGGCAACGACGTCATCACCCTGAACAAATTCGATTCGGACCCGGAGCTGAAGAAGCTGAAGCCGTGGAGCGAGGCCATGTTCACGGCCTCCAGCTTCTCTATCCTCAACTACGAGACGGATTTTTTTGATCTCATCCGTAACGGAACGGTAAAGGTGCACGTTGCCGACCTCGTGGAGCTGTCGCCAGGCACCGTTCACCTCTCCGATGGCTCTTCCCTAGTTTCAGACGCTCTCTGTTGCGCAACCGGGTGGAAGCAATTCCAACCTATACAATTCCTGCCCGAAGGCATCGACAAGGAACTCGGTCTCCCACACAAGCCTTCTGCGGAGAGCTTTCCACCAGCCGCGATGATCGAGACTATCGACAAGGAGATTCTCGAGAAATGGCCGCGTCTCAAGGATCAGCCTATCCAGAATAAGAAGCTGAAGCCACTGGTCGAGAATGAAGGCATCTCGACAAAAGAGGCCGTCAACCCATATACGCACCTCACACCGTACGTGCTCCATCGCTTCGTGGTACCGCCGTCGGCCAGGCTGCTGGCGCACCGCGACATTGCGTTCGCGGGCGTGTTGATGAACTTCACGGTGGCGATGATCTCCCACGTGCAATCACTATGGATCGACGCCTATTTCCATGACCAGGTGCCCTCGGTAACCGAGGCCACAACAAGTGCTGAGACGATTGAAAAGCTGCGGTACGAGACTGCGCTTCACAGTCGGTTCTGCAAATGGAGGTACCCCGCCGGGCACGGGGACAAGTTCCCAGACTTTGTTTTTGATGCTGTGCCGTATATCGACCAGTTGGTGGGCGATTTGGGGTTGAAGGTGTACAGGAAGAATGGTATGATTGCGGAGGCGTCTGAACCATACGGCCCGCAGGATTACAAGAATCTCCTCAACGAATGGGAAGAGAAGCTGGCAGGTGGTCGATGAACCATGCATCACGCTCTAAATCTATAATACAAAATGGTAATGCTTGATGTCTACTTTGACTTCACTCTCGGATCTAAGTGCCGTTGAGGCTAGCCAATCCGGGCAAGATTAGGCAGCAGCCTCACCGCCCTCCAAATGCCCATAAGATATGCTGCAGTCCAATGCCTCACCGGATTGATCCTCCAGCATCAACTCAGGGAGACTAATACTCTGGCAATCTTTCGCAGTTGGTGCATATCATTATTGAACCCTCTCTCCCGCGTTGTGAGAATGGAGGGAACACGGAGACCCGCAGTCTCAACCAGGAGAACGAGACAAACAGCGAGATTGGACGAAGCAGCGGTCGCCTCCTCAGGACCATCTCAAACCACAAATAATGATCCGCACTCTGTTATCATAGAACCTGAATACAGTAGTACAGGCATGATGGTGGAAGGCCTGCACATTCTTCCAGAAGTTCTCCATGTCGGCCTCAAACTCAAACACTTGAGGAAGAAAAGCATCCAGCTGCTCTTGAAGAAGCGTCAACTATTGGTGGAGACACCACTCGATGTCCCAGAAGACATGGAAAAAAAAGGTCTAGCCTCCTCAGTCATGGCAACCTTGGTCTTTGCCCAGGAGGAAGCAGGCACAGCGGTCTGCATCTCACCCAAGGGCATTCTTCTCACTTGCTCCCACTGCATCGCCGAGACCATAGACGACTTTGACGGTTCCAAAAGCCACTGGCTTCTCTTCGCTTCAGGCCAAGTAGTCGAAGCCAGAGCTCTAGCATGGGACGGCAGAAGAGACCTGGCCCTATTGAAAGTTACCTCAGCCCAACAACCTCCTCCGCCTTCAGGACCGACATCATCACCACCGCACCCAGGGGGTTCCCCTTCGTAACTGTCTCCTCCGTACCGCCCGCCTCAAAGACCCGAATTATCTGCGTCGGCCATCCAGGAAGCGAGGACTTCGAGGCGGCTGTCCCGGGAACAAAGACGGACTACGACGTTCTTCACCTCAGCACCGGCACGTTCAGGGGTTGCGCCGAGGGCCAGGACCCGCAGGACAACTCGGATATCGGGGCGCTGATGCATTCATGCTGGACGTACTGGGGTCATAGCGGCGCGCCGCTGGTGGACAGGAAGACGGGGACGCTCGTTGGGCTTCATTCATCATGGGATGATGAGACGGGGATGCGGAGGGGAGTTGCGTGGGAGGCTATATCTGGGTTTCTGGAGGAGAATAAGCGTTATTTGTGATATTTGGGTGTCAAGTCTTCTCAGTGTGTAGATACCTCTCTTCCCCCGGGTTTTGGTGTAAGGTACTTTTACACAGACACATCATATATTGTCTAGAGGCTCTGGTCTGCATACAAAATATGGCAAGAGGGTAAAGGTAGGAAGGTCGTTCTGGCCTCTTTACTTTATAGTGTACCTGTCGTCCTTTCCGACTCTTACTTCCATGATTGATTCCTTCCTCATCCGAAGTGTTCTTTCTTCCATCGCAGACAAATTCTACCCTCACAATTGAGTACCCAAAACATCTGAAACCTCTATACTCCTACACCTAGATCTTGTGCTTTCCATGATCACCAACACAAACCCACGCTCACATAAGTCGCCTATCGATTGCATGCGAGGCTTCTAGCTTCAACAAACCCACATCATATGCTCGAATACTCTGCTCAAACACTAACAATCGAATCCCTCTCCTCTTGTGTTTGCTCAAAGAACCAGGGTTCTTCTCATCAAAAACTGTTAGGAATCGTGCTAGTCCTCCTGTTCAATCACTACGATTTTAACAAATATTTCTAGACAAAAACCTTGGTTCCAACGCATTCATTGTACGTTACCCTTGTCTGCGCTTCCTGTTCAGACCTTCAATACCACCAGCCAGCATCGTCTCCGCGCTCACGATACCCACGATACTCACGATTTCAAAGTTGAACCTCAGGTTCCTCCCACCTTTCACTTCTCGAATTACCGGCTGCCCGTCTGCCTCCCACCCTCTGCTCCAACGATGCCTAACCTCTGGCTGGGCGAAGGCCCTTACTTTCCCTCCATCAACACACCCACAACGACTACAATCTCAACCCCAACACGTCTCCTCTCACAATCAACGATCTCCCTCGCAACCGCAGCAATGCCTACCACCACCGAGGAAGTCGAAGCCCTCCGCGCTTGGGTCCTCTCCACATCGGGCAACTGGCTGTTGAACATCGCCAAAGCCCTCGCCCTCTCCATCCCCCTGGGCATCCTCATCTCAGCCATGTGCTGCTGCTGGATCCCGTGCCTCTGGTACACCGACCACCTCACCGACGACTTCCTCGACATCAGTGTTTGGACCGGTCGCCTCCTCCGCGGCGAGTACGGCCCCCCCGGTGGTTGGATCACCTTCATCCGCCGCCGCGTCAGAATGTTCTTCATGGGTCGCGAGGAGCGTGCCGAGGCCGAGCGCCGCGAGGCACAGGAGGCCATTGATCGAGTCGTTGGAGAGCTTCGCGGTCGCGACGGCCATGTCGTTCGTGTCGGATACCAACAGGAGCCAGCCATGACGACTGGCTTGCCCCCTCAGAACCGCAACATGCGTCGTCAGATGGCCCGTCAGCAGGCTCGCGCGGACCGTACGTCCAACAATGACAACTAAGCAACGCTCAAATCCCTCCTGATCGAACGTCACGATCACGATTATCGTTTCGAATCCTGTTCCAAGCGTCCACCAGTTGTGGAGAAAATCAAATCGGTAAGACAATCGCTCCTCCCTCGTCTCTCCTTCCCACCAATCCTACGATGAGACCGAGAGAACTTTACTGACATTGAGCATAGATAGTCACCGCATCCGTTGAAACGAACACGAACAAGAGGCATACAGACGTGTAACTCACAACACGGAAACAGAGTGAGACCTGGCTAGGAGGAAAGAGCGATACAGGGTGCGCTTGGTGCGTACACGCATGGGTTGGAAACGATACAATTGGCGATGAGCCAGGCTGCTACCACTTCCTATCCGATAAGGTGTGGAAGGAGAGAACAGGGCAGGAGATCCTTGATATGACTGGGGATCGTTGGAGATCTGGAAGTATGCCCATTACAGAGACTTGTGAGCGAGATTAGCAGATCATCGGCATTCCTGATGATAGTTACAATCCCCAAAAGATCCGTCTTGGCGTTTATGATATTGAAGCCTGCTTATGCCTGTGACTAGTCTTTAACTTCATTCGTATATGATCGCATGCCCCCTACCTGTGTCACGAAGTCAACTACTCGATGCAAGACCGGGAGCATTCGTTGTTTTTGCCTACCTCGAGCCCGAGTATTGTCAAAATAAGACCAAAACACCACACACTTCACTGACAAAGTAGAACGAAGAAGGAGCACCAGCGTGAAGTCAGATATCTGCATCTCATTTTGACGCCTCCGCAGAGGACCGGCCGAGTCTATCTCAAGATGAAGCCTTCCAGCTGTTCTTCGCCGAGATGGTGGGTGGTATGTACAATCCAGAAGTTTTCCTACACACAGGCGGCCTCAAACGCGCCAGCCGACTCAAAGATTGGATCCTGCGAAAAAAAAGCGATCCTCTTTTTCAAATTTTTCTCGTCCGTCTCTCCAGGGCCGGTCGTTGAATGGGTTCTCTTCCATTCACACGCCGGCCCTTCCTCCAAAAATGACGCGTCTCCAAACTGAACAATCCCCGGTTGAGGGGTGGTATCATTTCCTGACTGAAGCGAAGTGCAAAAATTAGGAAAATCACAAAGGTGAGTGTATAAGGCGTTTGGCCATGAAATTATTGCCTGTAAACAGTAGAAGGCGTGGGGGTGCGTGTGACGTGGGTAGCGAGTGAGTTACTTGAGCAAGTGTGTGTCCGTTTCGGACGCTCGCTGCTCTCGCTTGGTATTTGGTGTATGGTGTATGTTGGAGCTGGTGAGGCAGGCAATGAACCATGCGAACGAGTTGAGGTCGATGGTAAGAAGGTATGTTGACAAAAAGGAAAGGCGGTTGGCGTGTTGGTAATGGGTGCTGGAGAAGAGTTGAAAAGAGTTTGGGGTATAATAGAAAAGGGTGGGAAAAAGTATGTCCCAAAGTTTGATAAAGTAATGTAGGTAGGGTAGGTATCGCCATTTTGTTTACTGCCCGAAGGAACTGTGGCTTTGATGCGCGTCTTGAAGAACTACAGGTCTGTTAGCTTAATGTGGGAAATCGGGCGACGAGGCCTTGACTTACTGTGCAGCACATTCATCTGTCCGGCGCGATCTTCGCACGCAACCTGCAAGCCGGAGCCTTCGACCAAGTCAAGGCAGATGCTGTTAGGCAGCTCCTGGATTTCCATGTCGGGAATGTAGGGCATCCGGAAGTCTGAGAGATGGTATCTCTTGACACCGGCACCTGTAGGCTGTTTGTTCTTGGCGGCATTGCCAGCGGCGACGGCACTCAAGATCAAGAACCCTTGGGAGTCCAGGCACATGCTGCGACGCTTCCATAGCAAGTTGTCTGGGAATTGGACGTTGACATCTCCCATGAAAGCCTCGATGGTAGGCTGTTGGAGGCGGGCCACCTCTGATGCGTCCTCCTCCTGAACTGTAGGAGAGATGGCAGTCGGGGTCATGGTCTTACCACGCCCGGCACTGCTCAGGGATGACGAGAGGCGACGCATGAAACGACCTGCGCGACCCTTCTTCTTGTCGCTAGCAGTGGATTTGCTGTCGTCGCCAGAGCCGCTGCCCTCAGTGAACATGGACGGAGACATGGCACCGCTCAAATCGTTCTCCTTGCTAATGGAAGATCGACGACTGCTGATTGACAGACGGCGGCTGAGACCACCAGAGTTCGCATGAGTAGAAGGGGGTCTTGAGGGAGACTTTGAGCCAGGAGACATGGGGAGAGGAGCGGTCAATGCCTCTGTGGAGGGAGAAGTGAGTGACTTGCGGCGGTCCTTGATGAAGTCCTTCATGATGCTGAGAGACGACCGCCTCGGAGCTTCTTCGACATCCTCCTTGGCGTCAATGGACTGAGAGCGGCGCTTCTCCTTTGACAGTCTTCGCTCTTGAATAGTCTCTTTGGAGGGTTCCACTGTGGCCAGATTGGCTGGCGGGAGCGGGAGCTCGGCCTTCTGATGATCGACAACTAAGGGCGACACCTTAAGATCGAGTCGTTCAAACTCGGAAGGGTTTTTAGGCGGCTCCGGCGCCTTACCAGCCTGGCTGGGGTCGCGAATGATTCGCGCCGTAACGGAGATGGATTCTGGGCGGCCTCTGGGCGGATTGCTGCCAGGCATCTCAAACATTGAGAGCCTGTTTGCCATGGACCCCGATCTACCCCGGCCTGCAGCCTCTGGAGATGACTCTACAGACTCGGCCATAATAGGGGGGACAGGACTGGCGCCACGTGTCGAAGGCCTCGTCCTGTCGACAACCGAAGGGGAACAAGATGGCGGGTCCCGGACGCTTCCCCTCTTAACGGCGAAGAACGCTGAGGATGGCCTCGGAGCCTTCAGACTGCTCGTGTCCGCTTCGACAACACCGGGTGCATGGGCAGACAATTTTTCGAGAGCCTTGATACGTTGGGAGATGCTAGACCCAATCTTGTTAGGCTGGTTTGGCTTCAAGTGATTGTTGCCCTGTTGCTGCGTAATCTTGTGAAGAAAGGCTGCGCCAGATGAGATTGATCTCTGGCTTTGGGCTTGAGCTACATCTGCAGCCGTGAGTCCCCGCACTGGATTCGAGATCGTGCGAACAACCCCGCGCGACGTCGGCCTGCTAGCGTTCTGAATCGTCGGGCTGGGGAACACTGGGGTAATGGGCGATTTGGATACAGTTATATGCTGCGCTTGCTCAACTGTAGCAGAGTGCAGCTCATCCAGCAAGTCCTCGTCGTCAGAGATGTTGTCGTCTGCACGCTTCTCGGGTACTTCCAGATCGGTCCGGATCGGTTCAATGAGTGATCTTCGCTTGGACGCCTCCGAGGCTGCCAGAGTCTCCTCAGCAACACTGTCGTTTTCCTCTACAGCAGTAGGCAGTGGCTCTGTGGGTGCCTGTTCTTTAGGCGACATGATGGTGGGAACTTCGACAGCAGCAGCCGACCTGAGATCCTGGGTCGAGAACTTGGACCGAGGAACTCTGAGTCCAGGCGAGCGAGGAGATAGCGGCGATTTGGGTGATACTTCCGCCGACAAAGAAATGGCGCCGCTGACATCCAGCGGAGTCGGCTTCGCTGATTCGACGGGAGTCTTTGGCTGAGTTGGGCTCGTGGAAAACTTGGAGATTGGTAAGCTAAAGGTGGGCGATTTGGGTTGTTGAGCCTTGACTGCTACCTTCTCAGTCTCAATTTGTTGTTCCGTGGGCTGGGCGAGTCCATTGTTTTCCGCTTGCTCGACATCAAGTCCTTGTGGTATGGCAGCGGGTGTTTCTTCCTTGTCCTCGGTCGAGTTCTCGTCGGCAGGTAGAGCTTCCTTGGGTGCAGGAACGTCGAGTGGGGTGATTTCGGGGGAGTCGGTGACTACATCTTGAATCGCGGTGATGGAGTCAACGACCGGCTCGGTATCGTCCTGTTTCTCGCTGGTATCGGCCTCAGGTACGTTGAAATCAGGAGCCACAGCCTCTTCGGGAACATGAGCTTGCTCAACCTCCGCCTCCCGCTCGACTTGCTCGTGTGCCTCAACCATATCCATGTCAGCATCAAGATTGTCTTCCTCGAGCTCCTTTACTGTCTCTTCGGTGGATTCGGATAGCGATGACGCCTTCGTAGACTGGTCGGGTTCGGATGACGCTATGATGGGCGATGCAGGATGAGAGTCACTCTGAGTGAACTCAGAGGCCACGTCGGTGTGGACAGACACTGACGATGCGTCAACGACAACGCCCGAATCTGCCTTGGAGACCGAAAGTCGTCTCTCACGTTCGTCGTCATCTGCTTCGGCAGCCAGGGTCTCCTCGGTTATCTCCTCAATGTGTTCGACAGGCTGAGCCTTTTCCGAGGCGACCTCCTCAGCAGGGGCATCGATAACAGGGGCGGATGCGGATTGTTGGTTCATTTTCTTCTTCTTCTCCCTCAGTTGCATCGCCTTCATCAGACGCGCCTTTTCAGGCGTCATGACCTGTTTGGCGGAAAGGGTGGTGAAGGACGGCATCGCGGATTTAATTGAAGCGCCCGAGCTCGTTGTGGGTCGCTCTGAGCTCGTGTGTGGCCTAACGGGTTCATCCACCTGGGAAATGGGATCCCCGTCGGGTAGGGGTATTGAAGTGGCGGCCAAGGAGATTTCAGTTGTTTCGTCGGGGTGGGCTGGTTCGGCAGGATCCAGAGTATTTTCCTTGGACTTTCCCTTTTTGGAACCCTTGGAAAATAGCTTGAAGCCAGAGGGCATCTGCGAAATTGGTCGGAAAGCAGCCCCCACAGCAGCAGTTCCGGTGCGAGCACGGCCGGCAACGTCGAGAGATGGTCGTGGGGCAAGTTTGACTCTGGGTTTGCCGTAGGTATAAGATGACGAAGAATAAAGCTCGGGTCGCAGGGACTGCGATGACATGCGACGTCCTTCGTCTACCGATTTCGAAGGCGAAGGCGGTCTGGCGCCAACAAATTCGGGCGGCTCCAATGATGTAGAAAACTTGCTCTCTTCTGGCGAATTGGCAAGGTCGGCATTCAACGTCACGGGCGGGCCTTCGATTGGCGATTTCGGGGCTTCTGTCAAATCCTCTGTCGCGTCTTCTACCAGATTATCACCGGTGGACTTCCGCTTGCTTGCTCTCTGTTCTTCTTCTTCCTCTTCCGCAATTTCCATCAACCGTCTCCGTCTCAAAGAGCTTGTCGAGGACGAGGTCGATCCAGATGCAGCGTGCAAGGAGCAGGCGGCAGACAGCTTGGTATCCTTGAGCTCCTTCGCGGAAGCTATCGAAAAATCGGTATTGTACGGCGCAAACCGCTCGCATACGGCATTGAAGTGGACAGTGGCTCGCGCTACAATTGACAGACGGAAGGCCAAGTCAGCTTCATCTCCCTCTAGAATGGGGGAAAGACCACCATGGTGCGCCACAGCCTAGAGACAAACCCACCTTGGACAAGTCGAGAACAATCTTCGGGAAGATATTTGATGATTACGTTCCGGCGTCGGTACCTTAGAAAGCCAAATAAGGGCGAGTGGTCTTCGTTGTCATTTTCGAATTGGGCGATGTTGTTCCGGATCTCTACAATGCCACCATTCCCGCGACCCAATAATTCAACGTCATCGCGACTCGCATACTTGAGGAGAAACCTATATTACGCAATAAATCAAGACGTCGGTCAGCCTACGTGAATCTAGCGGCGCCTCAACAGCGAGCAAAGAGACAAGGGGAATTTGCGTAGTGTGATATAAAGGAAGCGGTGTACGGCCGGCGAGCTACTTCGGGCTGGCAAGCGGTGACAGGCACGGAGAAGACGATGGTTCGGTCTGTGGCAGTGGGGATAGAAGGGAAGGGATTCATACCATCCTCCTGGTTCAGCAACGGCAGCCTCGTAGGCCTCCTTGACCTTGGGGTCGTCCAGGCCATTGAGCGACATCCTCCCTGTCGACTTGGCGAGCTACGAGAGTTTGCGGTCGTCGTCGTCGTCCACGTCAGTGCTGGTGGTCGGCGGGCGTGGAGAGCGAGGTGCGCGCGGCGACTGCGACTGCGACTGCAACGGGGAGCCGGGAGCTGTACGGAGCTGTACGGAGGTAGCTGCTGGCGAGGCTGGTATCCGGGGGGCCGCAGGGCGAAATCGAGTGGATTCAGACGGAGGGCCAAAAAGTGGTTCGGAAAGGGGGGGGGGGTTTCGTCGCTTAGTATGCGCAGGCCGGACCGATGGCGGTTGCGATTTTCAGGGGTAAGGCTGAAGAGTGCGGCGACAGCAGCAGCGGCAAAGGCGGCGACATGTAGAACAGGCCAAGGGGCATGGGCGTGCTGCACATGGGCACCAAGAGTGTCGTGAAGAAAGAGGGGCAGCACAAAAGAGACACAGGCAGAAGAAATGGTGTCTGGCCCTTTGTTGTGTAGGTAGACGAGGGTTGAGAAGGGAGATTTGAGTCGTGTATGGGAAATGCGACAGGAAAGAAAAAGCGGGAAAAGGTCGTGTTTGAGCCACGGACCTCGAGGAGGGGAGCTTCCTGGTGGAGGTCGAGAGAGACGGAGGGGTTCTTGGGCGTAGGGAGGTACTGAATAGGTACGGATGATGATAGTCTGATCTGCCCAGGTCCGGTCTGGTTCAGGTCGCGTCTGCCGGCTCGGGGGGTGGGTGAAGTCGTATTGTTGCACCAGTTTGCTGCAGGTGAGGTGGTGGTCGACGCGTGGGATGAGAACGCAGTGCAGCAGACAGGGTTGACTGCGCACCCAGTACCAAAGTAGGCGATGGAAGTGAAGACTGAGGTCGAGAGCGAGAGGTACGAAAGGCCAAGGTACCTTTCGAAATGAGCGTGTAGCTACTGCTAAGGCAGCCAGATGAAATGAAATGGAGAGAAGGGGTAATTACGGATGGACCGTGGCAAGGGCAGCAGAGTACCGTGAAGAAAGGCGTAAATGAAGAATTGGATGGGACTAGTACGACTAAAGAGCTAAGGGTCTGAAGGGTCGAGGGCAACAAGGGGTCCAAAAGAAGGTACCTGGGGTGGGCACGGGAAGAGAGATAAGGATAAAGAAGAGAGAGGGAAAAAGTAGTTCAGGTGTTGAGATGTATGGTATCCCAAGTCGCAAAAGTCGCAAACTGAAGATACGCAGTATTGCGCTTGGAAGAGACGCATAAGTTGACAGCAGAAAAAGTATTACGGAGTGGAAAGAAAGGGGGGCGGATAGGAGAGAAAGAAACGACAGTTGGGAACTTCTTTTGCTTGTCAGGGAAGTCTCGTCGAAAGGGAACCCCAACTTTGTGTCTCTGACTGACAGGGTAGGGGCGATTGGGGTCTACCGTCTAAGGGAAGGTATCCGCAACGGGTCCATGCCTGCCTGAAAGACCGGGTTTGACAACGGAAGGCACCAAATCATGAATGATTATTAGGGAAGGGACCAAACCGAAGGTGCCTCCTTCCTCGTCAACTCCAATTGGCTTAGTTAAGCATCAAAGGGGTGACTTTTGATCTCCCTCTCTGTCATCGTCGCTGGACCTCATCTCGAACCCACCTCTTCCAACCAACCACCATCGTTAAACCACATATCCATACCCGCACCGGTCCTGCAGATACAGCTTAAAGCTAAAGCACCTCACGCCGGCTGCCCTCGGGCCCCCCCCCTGGATCTTCTCCCCTTTGAGGTCTCGTTTGCGGGCTTAGGGCGAGAATGGGATCGACTTTCAGCAGACGTTTCTAAGGGGGAAAAGAACGGGAATTCTTCAGGACGAGACCAAGGGAGGCGGACGGACACCGACCAAGTTCCAACCAGTTACAACCATGATGCCAATCCCAACCAGCCAATGAATTGCTTCCATTCGTCTGCGACGCACCCTTGAATCGCTGGGACTGCCACTTGAGGAGTACAACACAGACCACCATCCATCCCGGTGGAGAGGCACGGGGGCAGAGCACGGGGCATCTCCGTCCTGCAGCAAATCGGTCCCTTCCAAGCCTTCTAATTCGGACTGATCGCTGGTCCAGAGAAACTCTGTTGATGTTGGCCTCAACAACGGGCACCCTTCTCTGCATCTCATTAGCCACGAACTGATGCCTACTAGGAACTAGACCGGTGAAACTGAAAGGAAGGGGCTTCCAAGCTACGGTCACGATTTACCTAAGAATTCAACGAGAACCGTTTTGTTTTTCTTCTTCACCCTTGAACGACCAAACAAAACACTCCATTCCAGTGCCCCCTAATCCTCCAACTTCACGTTACGCCACGCTTTGCCGCTACTGGAAAACTTGCTAAGGGGGAACAAAGCGACGCCATCTTGTCATTCGCCGTCAACCCATGTAAGTTCTTCTCTGACACTATTTTGGACGCGACAACCGTGCCGAGAAAGGTCAGAAAGAGTCGGGTCAAGACACCGGTCATGGCACGAAGTGACAAGACACACAAAAGCGAGAGAGAAAGAAAGAGACCAGCCAGGTGGACGGCCAGAACGTGGCAGGTCCGGGGTAGCAAGGGCAATGAAACGTCCAGTGCTGTCGCCGGAGTCCCGGAACCTGAGTAAGCTGCATCTGCGCACCACGCTTACTGAACACCGGCTACTGGATCGATCCTCAACGAATAAGAGAACCCAATATACACGGGATATTGAAACTGCTTCAACATGACTGCGTCGCAAGTTGGACGACATGCGACGAATAAGTTCCAGGGGATACTCTTATCTTGAACCATCCATTCACTCAAGTCAATCAAGTGGCTACCGTCATATTTTGGGGTTCGACAAACGCAACGTTTGCATTCCTCCAACCTCAACGGCCAAAGGAACAATAATGACTAACGACTACTCTCACCCGCCACGACTCAGGTTCAGGAATAGCACCATGGGGGGAATGAGCAGAGTTCGTCCCGTCGGAATGATCTCCGTATCCCACCACCACATGATCGACCCTGGCTTTCTGACTTTAGCAAAACTTTGAGCCAAATTCCCACGGCCTGACGTGAACACTGAATGATGCCACCCCGGCTGGTTCCCGACTCCATGGGCTGCCAAGTGGAGGTGGCAGAAAGGCTCTCCGTGTCTTGCTCCAACGACACCTCAACCAACCACTCTAACGCGCGCGAATTGCTAGAAACATCAACAAATACCATCGTCAGTGCCAACAAGATCATTCTTCCGAACCCAACGACGTTTGACGTTCCTCAGCACACGCATGGCGCAATTAGATAGGCAGTCAACGAACCTCAGTGTACTCCGTACGCCGTAACTCCACCGGCGGCTCGGCCTTGCGCTATGACCGTGGTCGAATCCACAACGGCCTGCTTGCCAAAGAAGCCCAGGTGCGGAAATGAGAGTCAAATCAAAAAAGTTCGCCGAATCACCACCATAGACAGCCGTTCCCCCCGAGCATGAGAATAATCTCTCACCTCAATTTCTCGCTGTCGTTTTCTCCCACTACCCAGAGACAGGTCCCGTGCCAGCCGTTCGAACGCGTGGGTCTCTCACCAAACGTCTCTTCTCGGACTCGTTTCCCACTTTCACCAAGTTTGCTATGCATCTTTCTAGAAGTTCCGTTGTTCAGCAAAAAAGAGGGGCGATGGTAGGGGTCCTCCTCTGCAAGTACATGTTATCCGTCCTCGGTAGCATTTGTCATTGTTTCGGACGATGCAGCTCATATTAACCTCCGATCTCTCTCGTCCCATCACATCGCAAATCGGGCCAAAGTACTCCGTATTGCGGACCTCAACCCTCAGAGTCTCAGTTCCAGCCTCCAGCGGCACCAGGAAGCTTTGCTACTGTTCTGAGGGCCAGACCTCTCAAACCTCAGATAAAGTGCCTGCAGCTCCTAGCGTGCAGGAGAAGGTAAGGTACGGAGTACATAATGCAAGCGTGCAACATGCAGCGTGCATATTCCCCCGCCCTCCCATGCAAGTCCGGTGATGCATAAACCCCCGATTTCATCACTTGTGACTTGGAGCAGCGCGGTCAAAGCGGAGCGAGTACTCGAGTTTCCCGGCATGCCGTGTTCGTTCATTGCGAGTTGGATGAACCTCGTCACTTGAACGAGCATTCATCCAAGTGTCCACAGATGAACCCCTCAGTACCTCGTAAATCGAGGCGTTCATCTAAAACCTTCAATGGATCAAACCATGGGTACGGATGGCTGCGGAGACGTCATCCCAGCACCCAGAAGCTACAGATACCTTAGGTAGCGGCTACCTGCAGGCTCCACCGCTGCTGTAGAATTCAATTTTAGACCTTCTTTGACAGGAAGTTATTCGCATTACGGAGCAGCATGCAAAATGCTTTAGAGCGATCTATATCTCAGGGGAAAAGAATACAATATGGCCCAACGTAAGGGCCCAGCGGTACCCCGGCGCTAGCTGGCTCCGGTTCGCAACTCCGGACATGAACGGGGGGCCTCGGCAGCGTTGAACGGCCAAGACACTACGTAAGCAAGCGGAGGGAGAAGGGAGATGACATATCCCGTATGGAGCGTACCTCATATTCTCCCCCGTGGCATTTGACTTTGGGCCGCGCAAAGGTTTGCCGCCGCCGCCGCCGATCAGCCGGTCGATGCATATTCGGAATTGGGACCCGAGCTGAAGCTGATATACACCATTCGGACTGGAGTTCCGTCCTCCATACTGCAGGTGCTCGTATCCGGTGAGCACGGCGTCATTGAGACTCGACTACAGAGGAAGGAACCCCTCTGGAAACATGGTCACGGTTTCGACATCTTCAAGTATATCGAGAATTAGGTTGTCTTTGCGTCTACATATATGCCTATCGTCATGTGCTCTCAACAACACACTTTTCTGAAAGCCAAACGGAAAGTCCACGAGGGGAAAAGGGGAGGGGATATGAACTCAGGTACATATCCAGGGGGATGCCCAGTGTTTGAATCACCGGATAATTAAACGCCGTTTTTTCCATGCTATCGTAAGGTATAGTTTGTGCCACATTAAACAAGGAATTGAGATGGGTATTGTTCTTTTCTTGTTCTTGTTCCAGTTCCGTTTTTTCTTTCTCTCTTTCAGTGAAGGCCGGCACCGGCGGCCCCAGGCGGCGGGGCATCCAAGTCGACGCCCTCGACGACGGTCCTCTGCTGCGCGCTGTTGCGGACGAGGTTGCCGAAGTACTTGAGCGCGACCTCGCTCTCCTGGCGGACCTTGAGCGTCTCCTCGCGGCGCTTGCCGAGGTCCTTGACGGACTGCTCGAGGCCGACGCGGAGGTTGTCGGCGGGGAAGCGGAGAACCTTGCGGACTGAGCCCGAGATGCGCGTCGAGTTGGTGTGCACGTAATCGACTGCCTCCAGCTGAGCCGCAATCTTGGTGGAAAGCCGATGGGGCAGAGAGTTGGGGATCTGGTTGAGGATGTAGGCGGCGGCTGCGAACGCTGAAAAGGGGGGGGTCTGGTTAGCTTCACATACTATTAGCAAAGAATGAGGTTCGAAAGAACTCACAAGCTGCGACAATGGCGGGGACAATGAGGCGACGCAAGTTGTCGTTGCCCATAATCTTCGCCGCGCTCAATGCGTGGTCCAACCAGCCGCTGGAACCCATCATGCGAGGGACAAGAGCTCCCGCAACAGTGAGAGCCATTCCGGTGCCTGCTACCTTTTCCTGCTTCTGGACGATGGTGTGCCAGTCGACAAAATCCCAGAGTTCAGTGGGGACGTCGACATTACGTGCCATGGAGTCGCGCTTTCTCTTGAACATGACGTCGGGCCGGAACACCAGGCTCTGGTAGTCATCGCCAAGATGCATGATGCCGAGCTGCTTGATGGCGTTCACGCCACCGACCGTCTTGGTCTTTGCGTGTTCCTCGCAGGCAACAACTGACTCTTGGATGTAGGACATCATGGCTTCCTTCAGCTCCTCTGCGTACTCAAAGGCATTGAAGATGCCACGGTAAGGAACGCCGTGGTTGTTGTCCCCAGCATGATCGATAGCCGTGCTGAGAGTGGTCCGCGTGTAGTCGTAAACCTCCTTGCATGTCCCTTCGGTGATCTTGTCAATTTCATCGCCAACCTGCGCAGTGGCCTTTCTGCTTGATTCTAGCTGGGGCTCAATCTCCTTGAGCTCCTTGACGACGCGGTCAAGTTCGGAGTTTGCAACCTCTGAGTTGACGTTGGCAAGAACGTGAACGTCGTTCAGAATGTTCAGCAGATACGTCTTTGCCGGTGCCAGCTTGGATCTGGCGCGCTTCTCGAGGACGAATCTTCGCAATGATTGCTCGAGGTTCTCAAAGTCTCTGATCTTCTCAACATCCTTGCCCTTACCCTTAGGGTCGTCACCAGGGTCGTCGCCACCGCCTCCGCCGCTGCCTCCATCAGAGGGCCCGCCTGGTGGCGCAGGAGCTGTAGGAACAGCATTGCTCGAGACGAAATGAACCAGCTCATTGGATTCCTTGTGCGTCCTCGGACTGAGTCCGTGTACCTGGTCAAGAATCATCTTCTGACATCTGTTCTTGTCTCTAATGTTGTCATAGCCGTTCACCACGATGAACAAGTATGCCTTCTCGGCGGCAGCTGCCCAGATGAACTCCTTGGCCGTCATGGTAAAGTGATTGGCAGCCGATACCACGAAGACAACGACATCGATCTCCTCCTGTCGGGCGAAGACGGCCGTCGTTTTAGTTGTATCAGAGTTCAGACCCGGGGCATCGATCAGAGCAATATCCACCACGCCATTGTTGAGCAGAGATTCGTCAATGGTTCGTACATCCTTGACGTAGACCTTGCACTGGGTATATTTCTCATTGTCCACCACGAGCTCTTCGAGCTGCGCCAGCTTGTAAACGTCGTATGTAGTCTCGTTATGGCGGTCATAGTCGGCGTCCTTGTGAACGGCATGGACCTCCTCGAGGCCTCCATTCTCCCTTGCATCCAGAACCTCGCAGAAGATTGCCGTGCATGGTTGTTGGTCCTCGGGAAGGACCTTTCTTCGAAGCAGAGCATTGCAGAAGGTCGATTTTCCGGCATTCAGATCACCGGTGATCAAGACTTTGCTGGAAGTATCTTCGATTCGTTCGCGGAGGTTGAGTAGGTGTCGGACGCTAGAGCTGATCTTGCCATCCAGAAGGGAGGCGATGGAGCCCTTCTCCAAGGAGTGGACAAGCTCGGCCTGGTGAAGCGAGCCCAGCTTGAGGTCCAGTTTGAGGACCGAGAAGTCCTGGGCAATTTGAGGTGTGACGAGTCGCGGCTCCTCTGGCGCTCGTCTTTCCTGCGCACGGCTCGACTCAGCACTCTCGCGCGCTTCTAGCGATGTGAAGGATCGTCGTAAGGATGGAGGAGCGGTCGGAGAAGACGGAACGGACGAGGCGGATGTGGACGTGGGGGCTTCGCCGATGGTTGAATATGAGTGTGACGGGGCAGGGCGTGCTCCCTCGGCTCGCTGGACAGAAGGATAATGGGCTGGCCAGGACACGTTCATCTCTTGCAACTCCTTGAGGAGCTCGATGACCTTGTTGATGGAGCGACCCAGCGTCACTCTGTGGGCATTGTACCACAGTTGGTGGATAGCGCCGGCCTGGCTGCGCCGGTCAGCTTCGGAGAGCTGGCCATTGACAGGAGTCGGGATATGTCGGTCGCCAGAGGAAGTCATGGCGTCGCCGTTCGCGATGCTGCCGCCGTAGCCAGAGTCGTTTTCGAGTAGTGACTGGAGATGCGCTGCATGTGCAGAGGTGGAGCCGGATCCAACGGTCATGAATTGCGGTGGCCTGCTCGATGACGGCACTGGTTGGTAAGGCGCGTCGTTGTCGTCCTTCTCAATCTCTTGGTCCATGGGGGCCTTGCCCTTCTTTGAAAAATAATCTTGGCTCATTTTCAGTCGGTCGAGGGTTGAAGCAGCATGGTCGACCAACAATAAGGTGAGTTAAAGGACGGGAAGGAAGGGAATTTGTTTAGGAGGCGATAAGTTTTAGCGTAGCAGGTCGAGAATGTTTTTTATGGAAGCTCGTCATGTACTCCGTACATGAATGGAACTCGCAGCGCATGATTTGGGCGGAGCGGCAAATTTCCCACCACCCTTTTGTCGCGGCGCTTCGCCCATTGGCTCAAAACTTCGAGTCGGAAAATGCCGCCGCCATCCGAGGCCGGGCTGCCACGCTTCCACGCTTCCTTATCTAATCATTCCCCCCCCCCCCCCCCACAGGTGGGAAGTTGGAACCTGGTCGGACCTTTCAGCGGGTCAGCGCAACCGGTCTGAGCAGTCAGTCACCACTCACCAGTGGTTTCCTTGGAAGTTACCTGACGCTTGTGCCAAGCTATTGTACGTACCCTTGTCCGTTACGTGAGTACCAGGCAACCCGAATATCAATCAACCTCCACTATCAACTCCTCTCCACGATAGCTACACAATCGCTACCATCGATCTTTTGAGTGCCTCACCGTTGCCATTCCAATACACGACGCTTCATCCGCTCCGAAACGATTGTTCCCAGCCGCCACGATGAACGTAGGCTGCGCGCACTCTTCCCCGCCACGACTCGACGGACTACTAACGCTGTGGACTAGATTCTAGAATGGGCGTTTGGCAAGCGAATGACGCCAGCAGAGCGTCTGCGCAAGAACCAGCGCATGCTCGATAAGGCGATCCGAGAATTGGACCAGGTCCGAACCAAGTTGGAGAAGCAGGAGAAGCAGTTGATTACCCAAATCAAGCAAAGTGCTCAGAAGGGACAGATGGGCGCCTGCAAGATCCAGGCCAAGGACTTGGTCCGGACAAGAAGGCATGGAGTCCTGTATCCGATGGAAATGTTGTTCACAACCCCGGCTAACTGTTGTTACAGGTACATCGAGAAATTTTACGGCATGCGCAGTCAACTGCAAAAGATCTCTCTCCGGCTTCAGGTACTACACAACCGGTCACTAGGGCTCGTAAACAATGGCTGACGCTTCATCTTACAGACATACCGCACCAACGAACAAATGATGACGGCCATGAAGGGCGCAACCCAAGCCCTCGGCACCATGAACCGATCGATGAACCTCCCCGCTCTTCAACGCATCGCAATGGAGTTCGAGCGCGAGAACGACATTATGGACCAGAGACAGGAGATGATGGATGACGTTATGGACGATGCCATGGATGTTGGTGCCGAAGAGGAAGGCGAGGAAGTTGTCGAGCAAGTCCTGGAAGAAATTGGAGTTGACTTGACATCAGCGGTAAGTACTCGCATCCAGACATTGGCGGTTCACCAGCTAACGATGGGTTGTGCAGCTGGGCGAAACACCGTCTGGGATGCAAACTGCGGCCGTACCCGAAGGCAGAATTGCCCAAGCAGTTGGAGGAGGTGGAGGCGGAGGTGCGGATCCCGGCGACGACGACCTTCAGGCCCGCCTCGACAGTCTTCGGCGGTAGCCACAGCAATGGAGGGGCTGGTAGAGTGATGACGATATTTTGCGGACGACAGCGATGTATGAGGGAGATAACGGAGCAGCCAGTTTGTTTTGTCACATATGGAACGGCGTTCCAGGATAAGGGAAGGCGAACTTTTTCTCAAGCAAGGCTTCTAAATATGCAATACGTCTACTTCAATGGGAGTTGCCGTGAACGAGCCGTGAAATGCTGTTTAGGAGGTGGCATCGGAACAATGCGCTATTCGTCTACAACCAGTGCCGGTCCTTATAGTGTGGTGCAAATGGTCATCACTTAATGCTCGCGTGTCGCTCCCACGGTTCATCCGATGCACATAGGTTTATCCAGAGCACTTAGCATGCAAGAGAACTGAGAGTAGGCTGTCGTGGCAAAGGTGAGGATCCAGGCGAATCGTTGCTTCATAACAATCACACGAACCTACCACTCTCAAAATGCCATGTTGGCGGCACTGATGACCCGAGTCAGCGATTCTGTTAGTGTAGTGTTGTGCAAGCAGATGTGGGCCTTGGGATATCTCTAAGGTAATCTACAGATTTCAGGCCAGCCCAACCCAGCAAGATGGGCCCCCAACAGACCCTGGTTTCTCAGAAGAACAGGTTGTTTGTGTGCTTGTGCCTATGAGGTTCCATGGAGAAGGATATAGACGGATACTTGATCGATAGCTTAAGCAGGTACCCTTACACGCCCCGCTTGATCGGCAGGGTTTATATGCCAGTTGAGCTGTCACGCCAACACGCCGTGACCAGCAAAAGCACATCCGCTCTTGATCCATAGTGTCGAGGTAGACCACGCAATATTATCATGTGCCGTCCTTGTTTGTGGTGTAACAAAGCTTGATCATGATGTTTTTTCTTGCCACAGCAACTTGCGCTTTGGGCAGCCATCACCATCTTGTAAGGTATATTGGGTCGGGGTTTGGAGTAGCTTAGCCACACGTATGGGCTTTTGGCCGAGGGTCGTCTTACACTCCATCCATGTTGCTCCTTCTAAAAGACATCTGGAAGATGATGCTGTAGATGCTTACCTAGCGGGATGACGAGAACGCAATGTGATTCGGTACTTTGGCGCTGGTGATCGGCGAGAGAAACGCCGATTTTGACCTAGCATTTCCATTGGGTGGGCGTTAGAGTGAGGTCAGTTGTCCACTTTGAGATCGAGACCACACTCGTCACTTCGCATAGAGATACCTTAGAAAGGATGGATAGTTAGAATCAGCGAGAAGAGTCTTCTTCAAAGGGCGCGTGAGACTAACTTAGTGCTCATATTGCACTATTTCATCCGCTCTCTGTCCCTGCAGATGCTCCGAAGCATATGCCCGTCAGTTTAGCCAAGGACTTACTGTCCAAACATCAGGCACATCTCACAAGAACAGTCGAAAATCTCGGCGTGCCCTTTGTTTCTTGGCTGGGGGGATCCAGATTCAGAACCAGTTTCCCGTCGGACGCCACACACAGACACTCGCCTCGCTTCGTCTCGCCTCACCTCTCGACCTGACGCGGGTTATCACCGCCTCAAGTGAGACTTGACAACGCAGGCGGCAGTACACTACTGTGCACACTACAGCCCGAGTGGAGCTCGCCGCCCCCCCCCCCCCCGCCCCCTCCAGTTGGTGTCGTTCATCACTGAGGTGCTAAGGTGCACGACTTGCGTCGCCGCCGACTGTGTGGTCACACAACTCTAGATTTTTCTCTCTTCAATGTTCAGCGCTGTGATTGTCAACTTACCGAGTTGCTCATTCACCTCACCCTCTATGAAATATTCAAGGTGTTGGACAGCACTAAGAATCAGACTATTCTAAGCTGTTGTAATGCCTATATAGGGAGCTGAGTGGTGAGAACAAGAGTGAGAAGCTCAGGCCAGGCCAGACAAGCAAAAAAAGGCCCCATAACGGAGAGCGGAGAGCAGAGAGCAGGTAAGCGCTGCTAAGAAGGACGGGACCCTGTGAATCGTTCCCGCCGCTTTCGCTTTTCACCTTTCCCCCCTTGCCGGTCCCCTCCAAACCGTCCAATTCTGGCCTCTGCTCCCCCCGTGCCCCTCCCCTCCCCCTCCTAGGCTGCTGCGGAGACACTTACCAAACGAGCGAGCCAGCACCAAGCGGGCAGCATTTCGCATCGCCTTTCCACAACCTCAACTCTCTTTCTCTTTGCCGCCTACCATCATTACTTTACCTTGTTCACACAACACCAACAACCTCCCATCCCCTCCCCTCCTAGGCGACATTGCAGCCTTTGCCATCACGCCCGGCAATCTTCAAACTGCACTTTCGGCGTCTCTGTTCTGTCATCAATATCCAGCTTCAAACTCGTCGTCCCGGCACTCCGAATCGCCGGGTACGTCACTCTGGTGAGTTACATTACTGATGCTTCTACCCTTCTGGTTTCCCCTCCACCATCATTCAACCAGCCTACGTCACTTGTCACCCTAGGCCAACTGAACACACAAACATCATACATCCCGCTATTGATATCTGCTTGTTCCCGCATCTTCATCAAACCCGTTTTCTTGGGGCCTGCGCGCAGCACTTTTTGGGCATCTGGTAGCGCTACGAGTCTCGCAGAGCACATAACTACCTGCGCCATCTTGATATTAGACGTCAGTCACATAGCCACTAGCTGGCGCACTTGGTCGCCATACCGCCTGCCGCTCAGAGACCAGCGTCTCTTCCTCTCTTGGCTCTTTTCGTCTTATGCATCAATCCTCCTCAGCTCGGACCCGACCCTCTGCCTAGCCCCCGGTCGGCCTCAGACCATCCTGCCCCTCCATGGGGCCCGACGACCGTTCCCTCTAACTTCTTCGCCTAATACTGACGATACCTTTATCAGACATCCATCTTCGCGACAATCCTTCTCCGACGTCCAAAACGAATCCAGCGAAGACAGCGTCACTGCGACCCCATCGAACTCGATTGACCCTGCGTGCGGACCGGTACCTCTGACGTCTTTTCGAGGTTCTTTAAACTGGCAGGAAGCAAGCGTCGCAGCCTCTCCAACCAGGGGAGTGGTCTGCTGACTAGAATGTTCGGCGGCGGCTCTAACTCGGCTGCGTCCAAGGCGGAGAGCGACCCAAAAGAGGATCGCAAGTCGCCTTCGCCCGAATCCGACAAGGGCGCCTCAGCCTCCCTTAAGTCAAACGACCAGGCCGCCAGCGGCGACAAGCGAAGCGGAAACAGCAGTCCCCCAGGACGGCAGCAAGATGGCGCTGTGGATAAGAAGCGCCGCGCCAGCGGTGTTCAAAGTAAGGCCGCGGGCCTGCTGGCTCATGCCAAGAACACCCTGAACTTTTCCCAGGTCGGCCGATCCAACTCGGATGTGAGCTCGCAGACCCCTCTCCAGAAGCTGGGTAAGCAGGATCCTGCTCTCGCTGTGCCCCAGGGCCAGCACAACAACTCAGCCGGCGATTCGGTTCCCGGCCCGCGTTCGACTTTCCGTGTCGGTGTCTGGGAAGATAGGAACAAAAAGTGCCGCCGTACCATGGAGGACACCCATGCCTTCCTCTACAACTTTTTGCATACCCCAGCCCCTGCCATTGATGGCAAGAAGAGCGACTCCGTATCCGACGAGAAGGACGCCTCCTCCCAAGAGATGGTTGAAACGGACAATGGATACTTTGCTATCTTTGATGGTCACGCTGGCACCTTTGCTGCCGACTGGTGTGGCAAGAAACTTCACATCATACTGGAGGAAATAATCCGAAAGAATCCCAACGGCCCCATTCCCGAACTCCTCGACCAAACGTTTACTTCTGTTGACGCACAGTTGGAAAAGCTTCCTCTTAAGAACAGTGGATGCACAGCTGCCGTCGCCGTGCTGCGTTGGGAGGAACGGGTTCCGAGTGACCGCTCGGCAACCGGTTCTCAGGCTATTGCGCCAGCTACTGCGGCAGCCACCAAGGCTGCTAAGCTGACTTCAGAAGAGACCGCAGACGACAAGGCGGCGTCAAGTGGTCCCGAGGCTACCCATGCCAAACTGAAAAGTGCAGCAAGCCGCCAGCGCGTTCTCTACACGGCTAATGTCGGCGATGCCCGTATTATACTCTGCCGCGGCGGTAAAGCGCTTCGTCTTTCGTATGACCACAAGGGCAGCGACGAGAATGAGGGAAAACGGATAGCGAACGCTGGCGGTTTGATACTCAACAACCGCGTCAATGGTGTTTTGGCCGTAACGAGAGCTCTGGGCGACACCTATATGAAGGATCTTGTCACTGGGCACCCGTATACTACCGAGACCGTCATTCAGCCCGAGAGTGACGAGTTCATGATTATTGCTTGCGATGGTGTAAGTACTGTGCTACTCAAGCAGTGAAATATGGCTAATTTGTGTTCTAGCTTTGGGATGTCTGTTCCGATCAAGAGGCTGTCGACCTTGTTCGCAACATTGAGGACCCGGTTGAGGCATCGAAGCTTCTCGTTGATCATGCGCTGAACCGCTTCAGCACGGATAACCTGTCCTGCATGATTGTTCGTCTTGACAAGGAAGCTTTGTTAGAGAGCCAGAACGATAAGGAAAACGCCATTGGAATTGAGCGCCCTCCGCCCAATCCAGCCAAGGTCAGCGAGTCCGAGAAGATCATCCGGGAGACGAAGCAAAAGATTGCCGAGGGAGGTGCCCCGGCCATTGGCGTCTCGGCGAGCAACAGTGGACGTGGGCATGACCCCGCGTCGATTGATAATGGTGACTTCAAGCCGACAACGCTGGATGGGACCCTTGAAGAGGAGCCTGGACCGATTGATGATGGCGAATCCCCGGACGTTGCCCCTGACACGACTCCGGCTATTCTTCCAGCCGAGGTCGAACAGACTGATGCCGCAGCACCCAAGAAGAGTTCTTAGAATTGGTTGAGAGGAGCATACTGAATCGTGGAGTCCCGTTGCAGTGGAATTTGGGCGTTGGCTTCGGTATTCATTGAAGGACGATTAAGACCGAAGCATGAGGTGTTACGGCAGCTGATACACAATGCGGCATTCCAAGATGTTGGTTGAGAGAGTTGACTATTGGCAAGTTGGTGTTAGAGCGGGGGTGCAAGCTGGCACAAGACAATGAGGCGGCTCATTGATGAAAAGGGGCACCTATCGTAGGCTATATGTACACCTAGCTATCACATGGCTTTGACTCGCGATTATCATTTTGCTTGCTGACTTTCTGTGAAACCTACGGACTTGTACGTGTGTACCCAAGTGGATGGCCTGAAGTCATCAAATTCGGCCTTGGACAAACACTTCGTTCGAGAGGCTGTGCGCGAGCTGCTCTCATCCAGGGCAGC